TATATTATATTATTGCTCTACTAAAGCTTAAGTAAAAAAAAGATAAGGGTAAGATAGATAGTGAGGGAGTGCTGTTTTGCTCCCACCTATTTAATCGTTACACCACTTTAAATTAACCTTGCCTGGGAGCCAGATGAATCTGCAAGTTTTATTTGCTCTAACAGATACTTACATTTGCGATTTTGTCTGGTGTTGTCAGACGAAACAAACCTCCTGTATGTGTGTGCACCACAAAATGCTCACAGATAACGACTAATATTCCCCAGTGGTCTTCAGGTCGCTGCAGGGCGAGGGGAATTGAGCGTGCAGAGCAGCCGTCTCTCTCTGGTTGCCCTCGGGGACAGCAGGGGGTGATAGTGAGTGTGATTTACTCTTCTTCGCTATCTGGCTAAATGCTACCGAAGCCACTGGAGAGTAAATCTAAAATGGACACACATTCACACAGAGTTTAAATGGGCACGGATGGACTCACTTGTCATCCCTGAAACTGTGTGACAAAAGACAGAACTGTCTTTAATTACATAGCAGTCTCTGTGACATTTAAAATGTTTTCACCTTGAATAATTACAGACTATTAATAATAATTTAAACCCTAATATTATAAATATGGATTTCTTCTCAGCTTTGTTTACAACAGTACATAAAGGTGTATCCGACGAGAGCAGAATCATCATTCTCATTAAATCTGGAAAATGAAGATCAATACTGCTACACAACAGTAAATGTCAGCGAAACAATTTTGGCAGTGTCGACTATACTGTTGCTGTTGTGTGAAACAGTATCTTTTTATGATTATCTGCAGATATGCAAAAGCACAAGACCATAAACAGAAATATATGCAGGACAGCATGTACGTAGTACAGCTGGGTATCAGTACTCAATACTTTTAAAGGGCAAGTGTGTGGGATTTAGTGGCACCTAGTGGTGAGGTTGCAGAACTGAAACTTTTTTTTTTGTGCCAAGTGTTTAGGAGAACTATAGTGGGTGACACGAAAACACTAATAGTCCTAATGAGAGCCAATGATTGGTTTGTCTGTTCTGGGCTACACTAAACACCTCCACAAAGAACATGGAGGACTCCGTGGAAGCAGACACACTACATATCTAGATTTAAGCAGCTTACTCCAAGGTAAAGAAAAGACATATGACATACGAATATTGTAAACCATTTCTGTCAAGAGATGCCGCTTAATTTCACGCACTGGACCTTCAAGGTATCAACCAAAATAACCCAGACCCAACTAGTACACTCGAAAGCTTCACAGAGGAGTTGAAACAGGCAGCTACTTGCAATATTCCGTTCTACAATGTTCTGAAAACCTGCCGGTTCACACCAATGCAACTAGATGAGATGGTGTATCATCTCTATGCAACAACTCTCTGTACTTCTGTTCTGATTTCCAGCTTTTCAGGCTTATTTTGTGGCTGAAAATAATTTGTAGCTTCTTTAATATTAATGATGATAGTGATAGTGAGATACTGGTGGGGACAGAGCACCTGCCACAGCAAGCAAACACGCCGTCTGCGGACATTTTGTCTTGACCAGTGAACTTCACTAGCCAATTGGCTGTAGAAACAGGTGACGTGCTTTATGTTCTAAAACCAGCCGCTGGTGAATTGACCAGCAGAGTTGCAGGTGACACCATCAGTCGGCTTGAGTTGAGCTCAGACCGGCCAGTTCAACACCAGCGCCACCATGCAGGCTCAAGTCTTGCCATCCCTACAACAAGGCAGCACAAGAGTTGCTACAGTCTATTCCTGAGGATTTGTCCAGAGACGCCTGGCTGGCAGCATCCTGGATACAGACTTGGGAGACGGCTGGGCCCTCCTGCATCCACTGATACATCCAGGACCCAGGTGGCGGTGTAAAAGGAGAAGACCTACCAAACCATCTATGGACCTCGCTGAACCGTCTACGTACTAGGGTCGGCCGCTTCAAGTCATCTCTGAAGAAGTGGGGCCTATTGGATAGTGCGGCATGCGAGTGTGGCGAGTCTGAACAGACTGTCGAGCACATAATCACCGGCTGCCCCCAAAACAGCCCACCTTCAGAATCCGGCCTCTTCGATTTATGACCGGAGACGAGGGCGTGGTTGCACGACATGGAGTTGGCCATCTGATGATACACGAAAGAAGAAGAAGTAGTTCACACCACTGCAACTTTTCTCTGCAACATTCTAAAATGGTTTTGTCTTGTTGTGAAATGTTGGTCTGAACTGGGCATTAAGAGTGATTCACGTGATTAGTGGATATAGAATAAATAGGATAAAAGTATAAAGTAGTTTGACCATAAAAAAGCAACATAACTTTTGGATAAATATTAAGTTGGTTCAATTTAATTGAGTCTTGTGAGGTCAAATTGAATCAAACTGGTTGTGCTAAACTAACTGAGTTAGTCAGATTGTAAAAGATTCAATAATGCCAGAGTTGGAACTACATAAAAAGATGCATGCAAATTGTTTCCTTACTTTCTGATTAAAGTTAAGTAGTTGAACTTGTGAATTATTTTTTAGAGTGTATCGCAAATTCTCTGATAAAATGATACCTGCATTTGATCCTTTTTGTTCACAGATCTAGAATAAAATCACTATTTATATGGTTTTGCTCGCAGCCAATCACTGCAAGCATTCTTCAATTCCATGCAACATGTAATGGGACCACTTCCACAGCAGCTACAACCCATATTATCTGTGGTATGGTGAATTTGAGTTTGTTGTATTTGACGAAGTTGGTAGTGTTCCACACTACACTAAAATGCCACCAGACACTGCACACCGAGGCGTCTGGTGGCATTTTACACAGCCAAATGCTTCCATTGACATGATGGGTACTGAATGAAGTGGAAGACTAGAATTGGCACCTTGTGGTTTTATGCCTCCATGAACCAGTCAAGTTGCAGTTATACTTTATATCCATGTCTATCCAGACTCACTGGTAGCCATGACAGTTGACAATGCTTTAAATGTGGATGTGCTGCTAAGAAGCTACAGATTTTAAAATATGGATGGTTCATGCACATCTTCAAGCCGGCAGCACAGAGGATCTCTACAATTAGCACTGTCAAGCCAGTGTCTGACCAAATGTCTCCCCTTCTGGTTCTGAGTTATGACATTGAAAAATGGCAACAGTGAAGATGACCTTTGACCTTTTAGATATGAAATATCATCACGTCATAATTTTATCCTATTTGACATTTGTGTAAAATTTTGTCATAATTGGTGCATGGATTCTTGATTGGGGTCACAGTGACCTTGACTTTGACCATCAAAATCTTATCATTTCATAGTTGAGTCCAACTGGATGTTTTTGCCAAATTTGAGGAAATTCCCTCAAGGCCTTCTTGAGATACCATGTTAATGAGAATGAGACAAATGCAAGGTCACAGCGAGCTTGACCTTTATCCACCAAAATCTAATCAGTTCATAGTTGAGTCCAATTGGACGTTTGTACCAAATTTGAGGACATTCCCTCAAGGCCTTTTTTAGATAACCACGTTACTGAGAAGGATACAAACGCAAGGTCACAGTGACCTTTGACAACCAAAATCATATCAGTTCATAGCTAAATCTAAATGGAAGTTTGTAGCAAATTTGAGGAAATTCCCTCAAGGCCTTCTTGAGACACCACATTAATGAGTAGGAGATGAATGAAAGATAACAGTGACCTTGACTTTGACCATCAAAATCTTATCATTTCATAGTTGAGTCCAACTGGACGTTTTTGCCAAATTTGAGGACATTCCCTCAAGGCCTTCTTGAGATACCATGTTAATGAGAATGAGACAAATGCAAGGTCACAGTGAGCTTGACCTTTATCCACCAAAATCTAATCAGTTCATAGTTGAGTCCAAGTGGACGTTTGTACCAAATTTGAGGACATTCCCTCAAGGCCTTTTGAGATAACCACGTTACTGAGAAGGATACAAACGCAAGGTTACAGTGACCTTTGACAACCAAAATCATATCAGTTCATAGCTAAATCTAAATGGAAGTTTGTAGCAAATTTGAGGAAATTCCCTCAAAGCCTTCTTGAGACACCACATTAATGAGCAGGAGATGAATGAAAGATAACAGTGACCTTGACCCTTGACCACAAAAATCTTATCAGTTCATAGTCGAGTCCAAGTAGATGTTTGTGCCAAATTTGAGGACATTCCCTCAAGGCTTTCTTGAGATACCATGTAAATGAGAATGAGCGGAATGCAAGGTCATCGTGAGCTTGACTTTTAATCACCAAAATCCTATCAGTTCATAGTTGAGTCCAAGTGGACGTTTGTGCCAAATTTGAGGACATTCCCTCAGGGCCTTTGTGAGATTCCACGTTACTGAGAAGGATATGAATGCATGGTCACAGTGACCTTGACCTTTAACGACCAAAATCATATCAGTTCATAGCTAAGTCTGAATGGACGTTTGTGGCAAATTTGACAAAATTCCCTCAAGGCCTTCCTGAGACACCACGTTAATGAGTACGAGACGAACACAAGATCAAAATGACCTTGACCTTTGACCACAAAAATCTTATCAGTTCATAGTCGAGTCCAAGTGGATGTTTGTGCCAAATTTGAGGACATTCCCTCAAGGCCTTTTTGAGGTACAAGTTAATGAGAATGAGACGAAAGTAAGGTCACAGTGACCTTGATCTTTGACGACCAAAATCATATCAGTTCATGGCTGAGTCTGAATGGATGTTTGTGACAAATCTGAGGTAATTCCCTCAAGGCCTTCTTGAGATACAATGAGAATGAGACCAGTGTTGTATGGATAGACAAATGACAGGCGTATGGACAGTGTGAAAACATAATGCCTCTGGTCACAGCTGTCACCGGCAGAGGCACGAAAAAGGTATCAAATTCAGTACTTTATTATTTTTGTACTAGTACCAATACCAGTACCCTGAAATAAATTACTGGTATTGTTATTTACACCCCTACCTAGTATGTCAGTAGAAGTGCTGATGAATAATGACACACACAATAAAACATGCAGGTGCAATCAAAGTCAGAAAAAAAAATCAAAACATTTATTGGGCATAAATATATTATATATACGCTACCGATACAGTTACGTCTTACATACATAGGGTAGTATTTGCAAAAATCTATACATTAAAATTGATATGGCAGTTTCTTTTATATAATGCATATGAAATTGTCTAACATTTACAATACAAGAAGAAATGCATGAATTTCTTATTTTTTTTCTCAATTCGTAGACCATGACAACATTGGAATGTTTGTTTTTAAATCGTGAGGTAAAAATATGTTTCTTTTTTTGTCTCGCTTAAAAAATAGTTAAATACCTGTGAGTCTCTGTACGTTTGTCAAATCGCCAAATTCTCAGTCAAAATTCTCTACTTACTGTAAAACGTACAAAACATAAAAAAAAGAAAAAAAAAAGTAAAATAAAACTGATCAGAAGGCACAGACGTGGGGTTGCTGGGCAAAAAAAATTGTCTCTCGTTCTCGACATACCCGCCAAATGTGCAGGACCTGCAGGGTGGGTGGGTAGGGGAGGGGGCGGGGTGTCTATAAAATCACCAGCATTTGAAAATAACAAAACAAACAAAAAAAAAACACAACAAAGCACATGGGGGAGTACCCTGCCCACAAACACACAGCCTTTCGGTTAACATGGCGTTAACCTCGGACTTTACAACACTAACATGACTGGCCTGAGCTCGGCCAAACACCTCTGCTCTCCCATTGGGGCATTAAGGCTTGAAGAGGGGGGAATAAGGGGGCGGGGGGCTGTGGGTGGGCAACATAACATCAGGGGTTTTAGGACAGGACACCTCACATATCACCTGTCGACTACAATGCAACAGGCTAGGTAGACACCATGAGCACGTCTGAGAAAGGAACCACATGAACTGTACTTCCTTTGTCACCTGCTCTGCCGCAGGGAGCAGGGTGCCATCTAAGAAGCACAGAACCATGCTCCAGTAATGCCAATGTCACAGTGATGCCAACGACAGAATAATGCCAATGAATGTAACAGACGGCGTTGGCAGTAGTGTTTGGAACAGAGCGATGGACCTCGCGTCTCCTCTCGCTCACATTAACCTCATCAAGACTAATGCTTGGCATAAAAAAGTGCTTCAACTCTGTTAGTCATAATGTATTACCATCTCATTCTATAGCTCTATAGATATCTCTGTATATCATCTCTTAGCAAAATACTGGATACAAAATACTAACTACTGCTATACCAGCACTAGCCTGAACAAGGAATCGTCAATATTATTATTGTCATCATCTGCCTGAAATCATCGCATGATTGTTTTTGCCTTTTTTCTTTTTTAAATTTTAACCTTTCAGTGTGAAATCAGGCCGTGTTAAAAACTCCGAAAGGGGCTACACATCTCAAAAATGGCACATTTTTGCTTTACAAAACAAAATAATAAAAGATAATATGAAAAGAAGCATAATCACAGATCAAGTTAATGTTTTTTTTTCCTTTTGAGAGAATAATAATAACAATAATAATAATGCTGTGTCGTTACAGAAGAACATCACAGAACCCTTTAGACGACTGCGAACGCAACATCTAGTGGACACAAGAAGCCTGCGCTTTGGCAATAAAACAGTAAAAAGATATCAGAAGCTTCATTATAACACTAATCAGGAGAATAAAAATAAAAAAATAAGCCAAAGGCAGCGACGTTTATCCCAATACAGATGACTTGAACTTGACCCCTAAGGCCTTTGCTTTTTGCTACATGTCTCTCTAAGCATTACAAGAACTGCTCGGCTGTGCACGGCCGCAACAGGAGATGAAAAAATAACAAAAATACATTTGGTTACATGTTTTGAAAAACGGCAATGATAACTGCAATGCATGGACTGATGAGCTACACGTTCCCAACAGCTGTAAGAGAAATACTTAAAGGGTTACTGAGATAAGGAATGCTGGCCTTAATCATACAATCTAACATACATCCATTAAAAAAAAAAAATTAAAAAAGAAAAAAAAAAACATGCTACAAGGAAAAAAATTAGTATATAACTACACTTGTCTCTTAATCTTTAAACAATAAATAAATGAAGATTGCACTGTAATTGGCATGTAAAGTACTGTATGCAAATATATAGTATAAATAAAACCTAGAAAAGAACTCTACCTTAACTTTCCCATCAACTTTGGCAAAGGTATTTTGAGCTAGTAAACCACTTTGCTTACTGACACATACAGGAGCAAGGCACAGCATTGACAGAGGACAAGATACAGCATCAAAAAAATGAAAGATAGGAGGGAGGGAGGAAGACACAGAGAGAGAGAGAGAGAGAGAGAGAGAGAGAGAGAGAGAAACGGAGGAAGAGAGGCTTAATATGATGACGACGATGACAGCGATGGGGATGACAGGATTAGATCTCCCCTCTGTAAGGCCTTATCCCTGAGGTACGTTACAGGCTGCCAATCAGAGCCGAGCGGCGGCGCTAAACCCCTCCTTCCCACCCAATCCTTTCTTCCCCTGCACCCCACCTGACAAAAAGTAGACATGTCACACAATAATCAAGCAGGTGAGGGTGACTTCTTTGGATCATCAGGGTGTGTATTGGGCTGTACCTTGGCTTTGTTTTTCGGGTCGGGATTAAAGGGGGGGTTCAGGAGTCAGGCGGGAGGGTGGTTAACTAACGTGTGTCAGAATGCCCTGTTCTGTTGAGTCGTGTTCTGTTCTGTCAAAGGCTGGTTTGGTTAGTGAACATTAGTTCAAATCCCCAGAGAACATGTCCGTCTGAGGAGAGACCACAGACTTGCTACTGCTCTGATTACATGTCAATAAAGCACCTTTTAATAGAGAGAGAGAGAACAGAAGGAGGGGAAGAGAGGAGGAGGCGGAGAGAGTGGCGCATGGGCAGATAAGAAGGGATGGGTCGAAAGCAAGAGGAGAGCAGCCAGAGCGAAAAGGTAATCACGGATAATTATGCTGCAGGGGAGGAGAAAAGAGGAGAAGAGTCTTCAAATGTATCGATTCACAGACTAGCTGGAAGGAGAAACTACGGCTTCAGCACTGCTCTGGCTGGCTAAATTTCAAAGAGACGGGGGGTAAAGCTCAAGCTAACTCCTAATGGCTTTCCTGGTTAACACACAGAGCTCTGAGAAGGGCAGTTAGCTTGGCAGGCTGTTAGCACCTCTGGGTCTGTGACGCTAAGGGCACATCGCTACTAAAGCTACAGATAAATAGGCTGGAGCAATGGTACTTGAGATGGTAGAACGACGGAAGGGCTGACCTAGAGCCAGTCAGCCCTTTCCTGGTTAAGTTGCAGCCAATCACGATCCCAGCCCTGCTTCCTAAAGCCAGTTTATGCCCAACATTCGAATACCTACAACGGTTCATATTCTGATCCAAGACCAGTGTTTAAGGGCTCCTTCGAGCTGCTGAACTGACCTCAGAGCTGCTGTTTGTGAGCACCTAGAGTCGACTCCTCCCCTTTCACACTGTACTTCAGACCTTACATTGCCATCACTTATATTACATCACTTTTATAGCATCATAGATATTTGTTATAATATATATTTATATATATAGATTGTGTGTATATATATTAGATTACTGGTTTTCCATTCTTTCTTAGATATAATAAAATCACAGGATAGCAGCATCTTACACCACACATGGATTGCATCACTTTGGTAGCTGAATGAGTGAGTGATTGAATGTTAAAAGCTGAGCTGATATGCGATTGACTTCTTAGGAGGAAAAAATGTGCGTTTCTCACCGTCATTGCATGAGTGTGATCGTGAATGTGTGCATGTGTGTATGTTTGTCAGTCTGTGTGTGTGTGTGTGTGTGTGTGTGTGTGTGTGTGTGAAAGCAGGTGCAGATTGCATGAGTTGACCAACAGTCTGTAAGAGTAGCGACAAACTGGATAATAAGGTATGAACGGCTAAAGCTTTGTAGGCCTACATTGGAATATGGCTGAAATGAATAAAGACTGCAGCAAACAAAAAAAAAAAAAAAAAGTAAGGCAATGACCGTCAAGAAATATACACGTTCTCTAATCGAGTATGTTTTAAAAAGATACAAAATAAAAACATGCAAGTCAGTCTGAGGAGCAACTGCTTTGCTCACAGCTATTTTAAGGCTTGATTATCAGTTTTCTTTCCCAACCGAGGTACAGCTAAGACAAGGCTTCCCTCGACAGAAATCCTTAACAAATGAAACGGACAGTGACACAAAGACGACAGAGACGTAGAGAGAAATGAGACCGAACTTAGTGAAGGCTGAAGACAACAGGAACAAGGTGAGGAAAAGCCAGACTCGATACTTTGACTAAAAAAAAACAACAAAAAAAAACAAAACATACATAGCCTTAGAAGTACATCTCAAGTGTTTGTTTTGATTTCATTCGGTTCTTTCATAGACATTTTTTTTTTTTTTTAAAGTTTCTCTGTGATTTCGCTTTCTCTTTCTATCCTATAGTTTAAAATTCCCTCACTTCATGAAGAAGTACTGTAGCAAGCAGGCGATGAGGATGGAGAAGCCCGCAAACACGCACACGATGAGCGCCGCGAAGCGCTCGTCGCTGGAGATCAGGCCCGTGCCTTTGCCCGTTTCCACGGCGCACAGCTCTCCCGACGACGCCGTCTCCTGGCGACGCAGCGTGAACAAGGAGGAGGGGCTCAGTGGTCCGCACAGCTCCTGGCACGTGTCCTGGCAGCGGCGGCAGGCGCCCACTCGGAAACGATAGTCTGTGTTGCCCTGGAGACCAGAGATTTGGAACACGCCCTCCTCTCCCTTAAAAACCTGCGAGGGGAGAGAAAGACAGGAAGTTTAACACCCAGGATGTAAACACATAGGCAGTTTTTTCCCATTACTGAGCACACATAAGACTGAGCCATCAACACTCAACGCCCGCCAGCTGATTTTACTGAAGTGCTCATGAGTGAAATGAGTTGGTTGGTGTTTTGTTGGAGTAGAGTCCTGCATGCTTGCTTGGTTTCACAGTGGCATATGATTGCCTTGTTTTCATGATGTGGGCATGGTGAAGCTCTCAGCAGGAGCCTATTTACAAAGGAAAGTGATGTAAGTCAAATTATGAGAATGCACACCCGGCACAGCGTCATGGTCATACTGCAGAGAGAGGTTCAGCCCCCCTCCAGAGCATCCTGAGTCCCAGCTTTTTGAAATGCTTAAAGAGGACTTGTTATGCTTGTTTTCAGGTTCACACTTATATTTAGGGTTTCTACTAGAACATGTTTACATGCTAAAAACACTTTATTTTCGTGCTGGAACACCTGTATTCACCCTCTGTCTGAGACGCTCTGTTTTAGTGCCTGTGTTTTTAAGCCCTCCAGTTCTCACATTACTTGGTCATGTACAACCGGTCATGTTCCAGCAGGAATATGATCCAAAATCGGGGTGATATAAACCAGTGGTTCCCAATTGGTCCAGCCACGGGGTCCAGATGTTTCCTTAGTCATCAGTTCAAGGTCCACACAGTTTAAAATATTCATACTTGCGCTTGGCTATATCATTGACCCAGTTTGCTGTCACTGTCAGGTCAGCAAAGGTTGCAAATAAAACAGTTCACATGAGTGAACAACATGTAAAGTCAATGATAAGACGCTATTAGATGTAAATTCCCACCGGGCGGCACGATGGATGCACAAATTAAGCGGCGTGAATGAAGTGCGTAGCGTGATTTTGGGTCATACATGTATTCATGAGAGTTGACAAATCTTAACTTCAGCGACTAATTTGCGCCACAATGACCAATCAGCATTGAGATCCTACGGGGTTGTTTGACGCTGAGGATGCACCGGCCTAAGTCCATTTATTGATTAATCAATTTAACGTAGGACGCAAGTTATTTGTGCGTATGAAGCCAGTCAACGCAACATTCCAACTCGCATGAGTAACACAATGCGAATTGTCAAATCACGTTTGGTGTGAACACGCTGAACATTTATCACTCACTCTACGGCATGAAACGGCACTTTAAAGCAAAACATCTGTGTTAGAAATGTACTGGATTTCAAAATAAAGACTGTTTTTTACAATCTTGACACGTTCATGAGTCACTTGCGGTCCAATCAGAATCAACCCCTGACCCACCAGTTGGGAGACATTGACATAAACAACATCAGCAACCAAGACTAGCCTACATAGTTCTCTGACGTTAGCATGTAGCTACATATACATTAGCAGTGTGCTTGCAGCCGGGGAATGACTGTTACTCAGAATAGCGTCACTTTCTACAGTGACAAATCATCAATAAAAGCTCCTAAACACAGCGAGACATGTTTCAGCAGCAAAATGATCCAAAATCAGACTCAAACTTCTGCAACCACGATTACATGTTTCCCTGACATTAGCATGTAGCTTCATGTAGCAATAGAGGCTACGCAATGTAAACACTTGAAGCAGCATGCTTGGAGCAGATGACCAAATAAAGAAATCCTGCACACTATGATGTCATACTGTAGCCAGATGAGAAAAAACATTGGAAACAGAGTCTTCAGAACGGTCTGAGGTTTTTGCTCACAGGGATTACTTTTGCATGTGTTAACGTCATTATTTGAAATTTTGGCCACGTTTAACATGAACAACCTTCACTGTAACCCTATTAAATATGAGCAGTTATTGCCACCACTCATCTCGCCTACTCAAGTGCTGCTTAGAGTTTTAACTGCTGCTAGTTATAGAAAGTAATAAATAAAGGACTTATTCAGATTTCTGTCATCTGTTCCCTGCCTGCCTTATACTTTACTGGGACTACATTCTTAGATCACTCCTAGGCTGAAACATACAGTATTTGATACAGCACAAGTCCATGAAACCAAATCTTGCCATGTTTTACCCCATTACTTTAACTCATCTTCCAGTAAACCTCTTTTTTCATTATCAAGTGGTAAATTCCGTTCAGGAACTGGCGCACAAATAAACTCACTTGAAAATCACTTCACTGTAAAATACTGATAAGAGGTTGCAGATCTGCGTGTCATGTAATGGCCGGTCTGTCCTCATGAAATGTCCTTGGGTAAGACAAAGAGCCCATATTTGCCCATTTCTTTTACATAGCTCTACAGGCTGTCTCATAAAACGTCAATCACATTAAACTGCAATGAGGTAAAGGACAAAGTGACAGGTCACCTTCTTGCTTATGTGACCGTAGAAGCACAATACGTATACCTGTTTAATATTTATACTGAAAAGTCATGAAAATTGATGATGCCCAGCTGTATGTGTCGATAGAGGTGGATGAGCATTCCCAAATGATTTAATAGACAGCCCCTCCAGGATGTTGTGATGTGGTGATCGCAACAAATAACACAAATTCAACCAATCCTCGTGAATTCTGCGTGACCTTGCAGTTTTGTCCGCAAATTTGACTAATCATTGTAGCTTTTCCGTGAGTCACCAAACTCGTTTCTCGTTGTGAAGATGTAATAATAATAACTTTATTTGTTGAGCACTTTTTGAGCTGAAAGCACAATAAGATTTCCAAGGTGCAGGAAACATACACTCCATACATACACTCCCTAAGTCTATCAAGTGACAGAAAAGGCCATTCTACAAAAGTAAGGCCCTTAAATCTTCCACTTGGTATTGAGTGCCCTTGTTTGCGAGATAACCCTTAATGAGGGAAGTGAGAAATATTAGGGTAGAGATCTTTTCCTAAGAAATGAGACACCACTTCATGCAAATCGGTATGGCTGACGTGCAGGCATACGTCACACTTAGTAGCAACGCAAATACTAGTAGTCATTCGGGTTTGAAGATGCGTACTCCAGCGCTTGTGGCGTGTGCTATGTTTATTCTTCTCCGTCTGATGAATTAACGGAGAAGAAATGCTGTCAACAGGAGGCGCCTACAACGTCTTCTAGTTCTGATCGATTTTGTTCGGGTAAGTCGATTTGTTTTAATATTTTGACGCTGTGTTCAACCGAGTTGCTGGCAAACCCCGGAGATCTTGCCTCCGGAAGAAGAGCGGAAGAGCCCTGGTTTCTGGTTGTAGGCTGTTTGTAGTCTGAGTGATATTGACCAATCACGTTTGAGCCGGCTGCAGTTGTTGCCAGGTTAAACGGTCCGTGCGGTGAACATAACTGGCGTCACTGCAAACTCTGAATCCATTGCAATGGTTCAGCATATTTACTTATATATAAATGGAAGTCGGAAACGGAAATTCGCCTCCTCCGCCCAAATCTAACCGGAATGCCAAAAAATCGGGGGTCTGCCCCCAGAGGCTGTATCGCCATCTGCTGGAAGTCAGACGCCGAATACAGCTGATGGGTTCTGAGAATGACGCTAGTCCAACCATCTGTTCTGCTCCAAAGCTGAGGAGCAAGAACTAAAAAGGCTTGATCACCGTTTGTCTTTAACCTGAACTTTGGGACAGTTAGAAGACCCAGACTAGCAGATCTAAGAGGGCTGTTTGGACGGCACATTGTGACGAGCTCAGTTATACACTCCGGTGCCAGATCATTGAGAGCCTTGTATGTGATCAAAAGAACTTCAAAATGGATTCTAAAAGAGACTGGAGGCCACAAACAACATTACTGCTAAAGACCGTCAAGGCAATTCCCTTATGTTCTGCAAAACACACCCAGAAAATGGGTGAAACTATTAAAGAAGCTGTTGCATCCATATCTATTGCACCTGCTGAAAGAATTAGAGTGAGCTAGATTAAATATACATCATTAGTGGTAACGTTTGTGTAGCATAAATCACAACATGATAGAGGCGTGTTTGCCAGTTTGCATGACAAACTGTGTATGTGTGTGCATGTGTGCGCTTGGTAAGGAATAAAAAGTCATAAAATGTTAAAACATGGTGGGAAAGCTTTATTCAGCATTCTTGGTAAAGTACACTAGAACAAGTTGCCTTTGGTTTTCAATTAACTTAATAGAAAAAAAAAACCCACACAACTATTTTTGCAATTTTCATTTGCTTCTAAAAGCATGCACTTTTCTTTTAGAAAAGATACTATGAAATGACAAATTAGACACCTACAGCGGAAAACTGGATTTCACGTTATTTCCTGCCCCTAAATTCTAACAAACTGAGAAGCTGCTCATTGGTTTTGCTCCACACAGGCACAAATCTGATGAAGTGACAGTCATTTAATACACATATAAAAGGTGTCTCTCCTCTGTTACCCTTTCTGAGTTCTTTTTTTTTTCAGTTGTTTTTTCCTGTAAATGGTTTCTCTGGGAGACTCTTGTCCTTATTTGAATTGAGTGTCTAAGGACTGAAGGTGTGATATGCTTTACAGATTGTGAAGCCATTCAAGGGCAAATTTCTGATTTGTAAGCCTGTATTATATAACCAAAATGGACTCAGCGCTGATCAGGAACATAGACATGTCTTTTTCTGCGTGTAAGAGCGGCTAACACACGATTTTTCAAGCAGCAGGTGGATCCTACGTGTGCGTCTGTGTGGGGGTATCACGCAAACGGATATTGACTTGCAGTTTTAGCCTTCAGAACTTCCTGTTTCTCTTATTCATGAATGAAAAACCACACAAAAAGAGGACACACACACACGCAGAAGGAAGCATATAAGTGTCTGAAAAGCAGCATCACAGATTTGTATTGGCAGCTGATGAAATGAGCAAACACACATCACGCACATTCCCACATGCACACACGCACAGATACACACACAGCGGCAGTTTTGTCTCCTGGTGAGTATCAGCAGTTCAGCAGTAACCATTCAGTAATTCAATAACGGAGACTAAAACATCCCAGAAGACAAATGTCTCTTTGTGTGCAGCTTACGAGTCTGCTCATCGCTCCAACTGCCAGCCATCCAATCCCCAGTTTCCAAGCAGAGCCAAAATCTTTTTTTTGTCATCTGTTTTTGTGTTGTTATTCTCATTAAAACCCTTCAATACCATTCAATAAATGCTGCTGGCACTGCAAAGTACCTTCAATTTCAGAATGCTCTATCTCACAGTGCGGGGAAGACATATAGTGTGTGTGAGATTCTGCAATGTGCAAATTTGTGTCTAGGTGTGTGGGTGGCTGAGTGCTCCATAATGTCTTCCCCTGTCAATGCAAACTGAATTTTCCTTCTCTCTTAGGGAGATAAGAAAAATATCCCCCCAGCAGTCAAACACACCTCTACAATTTTAAGAATGAACGAAATTATTGAAGCGGAGCCACAGAGACGCGGGAGCTCTCAACACTATCCTCAAATGACCCGTGTTTGTGTGTGTGTGTCTGTGCGGGACGAACCTGTTTGTATTCTGACTCGCGTCCCACCAGCACCTGGAGCACGTAGCTCACAGGATCTCCTCTCATTGGTGGGATAGTCTCCCATGTGATCTCGCACATGTTCCCCTCCAGCTGGTGCACTCTGGGAGCTGTTGGAAGAAATGGCATGAAAAAAAGAAGAGTTAGAAAAGATACAATATCATACAAATACTTGGATTTTCTGCATCTGGGTCTCCTAAAAATAACTTCAACCTCCCTAGAAATAGATGCACTGTATTCTCTCCTACCTTTACTACCTTTACTACTGCAAGAATGCATTCAGAAGGCCAGACAACAGTAACTTAATTAACACTAGCATCCATCATCCTGGACATAAGCCGCAACAAAGAGAAGAGATTCTCCGCATGCAATGATTCTGTTTTTCTGTGTTGATAATTGCGTGGCAAAGCAATAATACCCCTAGATGATAATGTCATTTTACACTGCTGAGAACAACAACAACATAATAACAAGAATCCATTTCCGATTGCATTAATATCTCTGCTAAATACCGCATATATTTTACTAAAGTCCACCCTGTTCATTGGATTGTGTCAACTCCTGTTGTTGTGGATGAAAGCCGATGGCTGAGAAGCGTTTGCACGGTGCACATGCACTGCAGACGGTCTCTTTAGAGGACGTTTGGCACCCCTGAAACTGTTATTTACCTGTTTATGGATATGTCAGTAGCCTGACAGTCATACCCATAATACTTCCTGTTATATCACCTGAGAGGATACTCTTAACTGTGATTATTGTAGCTATAATAAGCCACCGCCCCTCAGTTTACAGCAAAGACAACATACTGGAGGCAATAACTAGCGAGGTGACAGTAAACATGTCATCTCTAATAGCAGAACAGGAACAACTGGATTGCCTTTTCTTGTCCTGTAAGTGTATCACCTCTTTGGGGCCATTCAGTGTAACTCCTGACCTGCTGGAGACACTTGTAACAGCTTTTTAGAAGTTCAAACTTAGATCAGATGGAAAATAATTGTGTGGTGGGGCGGGGTGCCATCTTGTGAAGTGCGCGCTCTGTTATCTTTATTATTGAAGTGTGTTTACTCAGTCCAGAAACAAGATAGTTTACAATGTCCGGATTTGGGAGTGGAGGTAGTGCATCAGGGTCAGTAATCCAGCTTTGGGCTGCTAAGTCATGTGGACCTATGTTGTTTATTGTGATTAGTTTGTCGAAATACTGTTGCTGGACCACCATATCAGGGACAGCTAACACATCTTGACTGTCACAAGATGGCACCCACATCCAAACAATTTGACCTGCTGTGACATCAACTTTATAATCTCTATATTTACACTCAAGCCCTGCTTCCACCGAGCAGTACGGTACAGTTCAGTTTGGTCCACTTTTTTTCTGTTTCCACTGTGAGAAGTTGTGGATGGTACCAATGGAACCATTCCGTACCGTCCCCATGTTTGGTCCCCCCCTCTGTTGGGGCACCTAGCACAGATCTGGTACTAAAAGGTGGAGCTGTGAACACTGCAGTCTGTTGATTGGTCAGTAGAGGACGGTCACTCTAATTCGGGCTGAGTTGTGTCTGGTTTTGAGGCTCATGTAACCACTGTTCATACTGTGGAGAGTTTTACGTACATTAGTTATCTGTAACTATAAAGTGAAAGGATGTGTTTTTCATAATTCACTGGGTCGACTGCCAGCAACTTTTAATGGGGAACATTAACTTGCCTTCTTACTCAATGCATGAGCTGATTATGTGAATCCATCAGCACACCTTAAATGTCAATGTGACAACTTTTACCATTACTTCAATTGTTCTATGACATACACTTTTAGTAATGAGTGGACCGGATTTCGTGAACAGCATATATTCTAATCCTCACTCGGAGAAAAAAAAAGCTTTGCGGAGCATCGTTCCTGTGGGCTCTGGCAACACTAAACCCCCTGAGCTTGCCTGAGAAGAACTAAATGCACAAAGCTGCTAATTTTAAATATCCCATGGAGAGAGACTCTCACTGCAGCCTGTTCTGTTTTGTTCTGAAAATGTTGGTGTGCAACCTCACTGTGTTTGCGATGGAAACGCTAGGGTCTAGGTACCATGTCTGAAGGGTTCCAAAGGTACCCTACCGAAAAGTCTTTGGTGGAAACTTTGGACTTTAGTAACTGCCAGGTGTAACTGTTGCCAACAAAGCTACCGTTAGCTTGCTAATAAAGGACCCTTTTAGAGTATAAAGAGGTAAAAATATGTAAAACAACACCTGACGTCAAGATTTTAAATTAAATTTCACAAAAATAACACAATGTACCTCAAATTACGAAATATTATGCTAATTACGCCACATAAAAAGACCAAATATCGCAAAATAGGTTAGCATAATCTGATATTTCTCTCTTATTCCAAATTGCATGATTAATTCTATCAATCTTATCTCAAATGACCAATGAAAGCTTCTCAACCAAAAGTGTACATGTTCCAGATGTAATATGATCTGAAATTGAAATTAACAACACTACGATTTCATGTTTCCCCGACGTTAGCATGTAGCTTCATGTAGCAGCGTAGGTATCGTAATGTAAACACTTGCAGTAGCATGCCTGGGGCAGATGACCATATAAGGACAGCAGGTACAGACATCAGACTGTCTTGAAAATGTTGAAAACAGAGTATTCAGAACGGTCTGAAGCGCAAGATTTTTTCTTGCAGGTATTATTTTGCCCACGTTTAATATCAACATCAGACAGTCTAACATTTGATATGACAGAAAATAAGGAAAAGTAGAAAAGGTCCCATTTAATATATCGTTATCGGCTTACCTTTGAGGGCAGGGGGTACAGACTTGGTGGTGCAGAAGGTGTGTGTGTCAGAGAAAGGACCCTCCCCAGCGTCACTAATGGCCTGTATTCTGAAGCTGTAGCTGCTGGACTCAGTCAATCGCTGGACCTTGTAGGTGTGGCTGGGGCCGCGGTAGATGGTCACAAACCTGGATGGACGACATAATGAAGAGGAAGGAAGAGACAATGAATCACAAATCTAAATGGGAAATCTGTAAATAAGAAAGAGGGGTGAAGGAGAGAAGAAGGGAGGAAGGAAGAATAAGTGAGATAAGAAGGAAGGTGAGGAGTGGGGTGAAGGTGAGAGGACGGAGCGACGGTGCTCTGAATAGATTAGAGGAAGGACGAGATGTGGTGATAGAAAAAACGCAGTTAGAAAACCTGGATAACAAGAGCGCTGAGGGATGAGGCATCGACACTTGGGCTGCACTAATCACCAAACTAGTTTTCAAGTGCGCGTTCAGGATTGGATTGATGCATTCATCCAAGACTCGCGATGACTCATCGCAGCAGGCATTACCACTTAACTGTGCTTATTAACAGTTCTGGGTGCGTGACGTTGCTGACTCAACCATATATAGACAAAGCGCAGATTTGCTGTTAATTCAGGTCTGTGTTTGGTCTCTAAGGAGTTCATTCAGGTGGGACTGTCTTGAGAAATAGGTAGCCGAGACCTTGAAAAGAAACAAGAACTCTGGTGGGAATAGGAGAAAGCATCTTCACAAAGATAGCAGTGATTTATAAACACAACAGGATGAATACCGACAGGCTGCAGTCACAAATCTGATGGAAACGAGCACTCAAAAAAAGTTTCTGGACGGCTAGATGGACAGATTGATGGAGCGAAAGAGAGATGATAAGTGAGAAAATGAGCGAGTTGGGGGGGAAATGGGGATTCAAGCTGAAAAGGGGGTTATTTATCTCCGCTATCAGCCTTTCAGCACAATACGGTAAAAGTCTGAGTGAGGAGGGGTTACGGGAAAGAGGGAACAGAGGGAGGAAGACAAAGGCGGCGGGGAAAGTGAGAAGATAGGAGGCAATGATGGAGGGAAGAAGTCTGAGGAGGATATGAGAAATAAAGGAGGGAGAGGAGCGAGGTGACTGGTAATTACAGGAGCAGAGACAATGATGGAGGATCTGCAGCGAGAGGAAAGAGAAGGGAGAGTGAAGGGAAAAGAAGATATGAGAGAGGTCATGGTTTAGTAGTGGGCTATAACTCCAGACGAGCTCTTTATGTAGCCGCACTACAGAGAAGTGATGCATTTCTACGGCTGATATATGATGTTGTTAATCCTTTGCCTCGCTGACTTACAGTTAACACCCACACACACACACACACTCACACGTTTACTCTCTGTTGACTCCGACAGTTACACAGCCAAAAAAATTACCAATGTTTCATATTAATCTACAGTAACTACATCGACTTTTCCATCATCATAACTTTCCATCATCAAAACAATTAACTCTCAGCAGAGCACAAACAATAAACACACACACACACACACACACACACACACACAATCACCGGGCCACAGTTAATGAGATGAACCGCATCCTCGGCCCGCAGCCAAACAGCCGACCAATTAACCACAACGATGAGCAGAGGAGGAGGACAGAGACAGAGGGATTAGAAGGTTTTGAGTTTTGTACCGATACCACAAAGAATTTTATATATTTCATTTGCCTGTCAAGTTTGCATATTGTGCCTTAACTGTATCAGTCCTCCATTTTTCAACACAACAATGGGCTTTCCAATGAACCGGCAATCATTCATCACACACACACGCACACACACACAAAGGCAAACATTTGTTTTGGCAAAGCGTTATCAAACATCTTTGTCCTTGCATTTCTTTTTGAAAAGCAGGTGAACTCTTAAAAGCTTTCTCATAAATATAAAGCTAAGGAAGAATCTGTTCAGTTCAACCAACAGATTTTTTTGCAATTATGTCTAACTAATAGCTGTATTCCCTTTACATTGGTTAGACAAAGCCTGTGAACCCTGATTGTGCAGGACACAATCTTTGATCACACGTACTACTCTACTGTATGTGTTATGTTCTATTGTTGTACTGAATGACTCCATGCTCAGTCATCTTACACTTGCTGTTTTTATTCCAAAAGCCTAACCAGGGACAGGGGTTGCAAATTAGCCATGGCTGGAAACCTCTATGCATTGCATCTACTTTGTATTTTACATATGAAGCAATGTCGTATGCATTTATCCTTGTCAAATAAACAAGTGAATACATGTTTTCAGCAGTTATTGCCTAATAGGGATGTATCACGCATGGCTACTGACTCATAAGGTTAGCATTAAAGCCAGAAAAACAGCTTTCAAAGTGGCTGAATGGCTTTGTGGAGAAACAGGTGGGTGTACATGAGGAAAAAAAACATGTCTGAATACAAAGATTAAGGAATAGAGAAATGAAGAACATGAAGGGATGAATCAACAAGTGGTTGGGCTGGGTGACACATGGGTAGATATGGATGGAGAGATAAAGACAGAACATGCAAGAACTAAACATAAAGGAATAGTTCACCCATGAAATGATAATGCAGGTGTCATTTTAGATTCTCAATTGAAGTTTGATCGACATGTAAAGAGTCTGTGTAAAACTGTCAAAACTAATTTAAACTGCTTTCCTCTGATTAGAGGCGGCACAACAGTTCATGCATGCCATGATATTTTCCCATTTATCATATTGTGCAACCTTTTGGGGTCAAGCTAATCAAACAACACTTGCACCAATTAGGTCATTGTATAAACAGGCTCTGAAAGTAATGGATAAGAAACCTGCTAGTTGGCACCACTGCCAAATTATCAAGAAACATAATCTGAAAAAAGTTCTGAAACACCCAGAAACACTCTGCCAGCTGGTGAACAAACAAAACAGTGGAATTAGAACTAGGAGTGCAACAAGCAGTAATTGTAGAACAGCGAAACGCAGGACAACATTCGGACAGTCATCCTTTTCAGTAATAGGTACCAAACTATGGAATACATTACCATCTGAAATAAAAACATTGACAGAGCTCAAGGCTTTTAACACAAAAGTAAAACGATGGCTGAAACTGAAGCCTGTGAACACTGACTTTTATATATTATTGTACTCATTTAGTGTACTGCCCTTTACTGTTTTGTGTTTTTGCTTATTGTTCACGTCCTGATTCTGTCTTTGTCTATATGTTTTGTATATTAATGTTTCTGAACTGTTTTTAACTTTGCACACAAACTCTGTTTTAATAGCAAAAGCCTAACCAGGGACAGGGGCTGAGAATTAGCTTCAGCTAGAAACTTGTATGCATGACATCTGTTTTGTGTCTTGTATGAAATAATGTTTAATGCATTTGTCCCTGATCAATAAATGTCTAAATAAATAAAAATTTAAATATCAGTTACTCACCCTGTGTTACGCTGAATTTGACAAGAAAACTTTCTGGGTTTTTTGCACGCCTCCATTGAACGAAGAATTCAAAAGTTAAGAAATTTTAATGAATTGAAGTCAAAGGCAAAACTATATCAAAACAACTGTTTGCAAACTTTCACACAACTTGCGCAGTATAATCCAAGTGTCATTTATTCAGTCGTGTGATCAGTATTTCCCATACAGATGCATTTGTGCTAAAAATTTAGAATTCAAAAATGAATTGAAAGTTTCTATGCTCACTTCAAAGCCAGACTCCATTTACAAAAACAGTAATTTTACTTTGCTGAACACATGAGCTGCTGGTCGACCGCTGCCTCGATTTGTCAGTTTGTTTGTGTTGTTGTGTGACTTTGGTGTTTTTAAAGGGTTAGCTCAAATTCACCAAAGTCAAACAATAACGCAAATGATCCACATATCGATACAGTTGTACACCAGCAGCTCCCATGTTCAGTGAGGTATAACTGCTCTTTTTGTCAATGGAGTCTGGCTTTGACGAGAACATAGGCTGGTTTCACTTTCAGTTCAGTTTTTAATTGTGAAGTTTCAGCATGTGTTTGGGAACTACTGAGCATACGATTGATAAATGAGACTAGGATTATATGACAGAAGTTGTGCGAAGGACGTTTCAGTATATTTTTGGCCATGATGACTTCGAATTACAAAGAACTCTCAGTGTTTTTGGATTATTTGATCATCAAAGGCATACACGAAAAAGTTTTCTTCACAAATTCAACATAAAGCAGGGTGAGTATCTGACATAAAAATTGTCATCTGGCAGGTGTAGTGTTCCTTTAAGAAAGGCTGAAGGACAGACATAGTGATGGACGTGTGGATGGATAAGTCTTATAAATGACAGCACCTCCACCCATGCTTTGCCCCTTGTGCCTGTTCTTCCACTTGCATGCATTTATAATACATTATCAGAAGGTTTAAGCCTTAACTGCATTGCGCATGTTGCCATGGTGCCTACACATTCCCAATATCCCTGCTAGGAGGCATTTTGGGTAATAAGGAGAAGAAGAAAGAGAAATGAGAAAAATCAAACAAACACAGTTTTTAAAGGGCAACGACAGAGTGAGGAAAACAAGTGAAAATGAAAAAGCCATGAGCGAGGGAGGACAGAACACAAGCAACAAGTCTGCATACAGGGAGATAAGGGTGGAAAAATAAGCTGAGGGGGGAAAGAAGGGCAGTGAAGGAGAAGGGAGGAAAGTAAAGAAATGGGATTCAACATTGTGAACCTGAGAAAACAGCTTTGTTTATGATCACACACGCCCACAAAGACGTGGCGGGGCGGCTGGGAGAAAAACAAAGAGGGTAAAAGATGAGGTGGGAGGGTTGAAATTTATGAAAGGGGGCGCACATTTCTCCAGAGGTCCTCCTGAGGTGAATTCACCTGTCTAACAATAAAAGGAGATGAATGAATATGAATGAGATCAGCCACGGACTAAGGGAGAGATACAGCGAGAGACGGGGTCGGGGGACAGCCAATGTCAAAAACATAAATAGACAGTAATGCTATTTGGTTAAGAAAACCACACTGATGGAATTTATTGGCAAAATCTGAAATTGTATTTGCACAAACTGCAGCTGGCCATTCAATATGTTTGTTTACGAAGCCATTTCAAGATTCGATACTTTGTCTTTTTTCAAAATGCCCTTCCAGCCTCCCCTGATACATTATGATTATTGGCAGTGAAGCATCTGGTTGCCATGGTGATTTCATCAATGAAAAAATCCCATCCTGCTAATTAATTCTAATAGAGTGTGATGAGAAAGCAAAGGGGGGAAGAGGAGGAGGAAGAGGAGCCATCTACACCAGCTCAATCCATCTGTCTGTTGATAACCCACACACACTCATCCTTGTACATCTATCTTTGTGAGGACCCTCACTGACATAATGCATTCACTTGCCCCTTACCTTACCCTTAACCATCACAACTAATAACTAACCCTAACCTTAATCAAAGGGGTATTACACATCATGTTTTTTGCGCCCTCACATTCATTGCTTTCAATGTAGACGTGCGGCAGGCATGCTCAAACACCAGAGCAACGCAAGAAGGGCATGCACGTGTTCCTGAGCACCTATTTTTCTCTGCACGATGGTTGCGCCCTGAGATAAACTTTTAGAACACAGCAGCGTGCACTGCATATCAAGTGATGAGGAACAACCAATCACAGTCGACAGATATCTTTCCCTTCTCCCGTAAATATCAGTCTGTGATAAACACGGAAAAGTTGATCATGTTAGTGCAGGGCTACCCAGAGCTTTACATCTGTCCCACGGACAGCCTACACACTTATAAACAGCCTCAGAAAGAAGATCAGCTCTGCTCTCAGGATTTCAGGTAAATAGGCTACACAATGCTTGTTAAGGTTGCTAAGTAACCTCAGATGCAACCTGCCACTGCGCTCTTGAAAGCTGGAACAAAAAGCTCAAAAAGTAGCGCCCAATGCCCGACCTTGCATTTTCCAGGCGGTTAAAGATGCAGCATGTGTACGGCCCCTAATTCTACCCTTAACCCTAAAACCAGGTCTTAATTCTCAAACAGGCCTTTGAAAAAGTAAGGATTGGAAAAAATGTCCTCACTTCGCAAAATGTCCTCACTCTGTTGCTAAAATATGTTGTTGTGGTCCTCACATACACACACACACATATACAGACACACACACCTCTGATGCAGCTGCTAATACACCTAAACATCCTGACACAACCACCAGTAGCTGCAAGTGATTATTTCTAAGCAAAGGCAATTAGCTTGAATCAGTCAGGAATAACATGTCGTCATTATCGGGCAATCCAGTCAATTATAGTTTATGGTCGGTTTCCTCATGGAGGAAATGATGGCAATGAAGAGGAGAGAGTGAAATAATGTTTGTGTATTTGGGCTGGAGTAGATGCTGCTATTTTTTTTATTCTTCCATTTTTATTTATTTTTTAATTATTATTGTTTGTTTTTTTCTCCCATTTAATTTGTACCAACCAAATCATGGGCAGCACTATGAGAACAAATCTGAAAATGTTGTCTAGGGTCTCTTTTATGTTATTTTATATCTTATGTCACTGACTTTTTATTTATCTTTGTTTATTAGTGTTGTGAAAGGCGTCTATAAATAAAATTTATTATTACTATTATTTCCTGCCATAGATAAAATCCATGCTTTTACGACTAAATAATTCTAATCAATATAAAAACTTTTTTTTCTCTCAAAATAAAACCAGATCTAAATATGGTGTATGCAAACATATGCATATCCACAAGTTCGTCCAAGCATGGTCACAGAAACAGAAACACACACACACACGACCAGCATACTGCCATATTAATCACTGTGCCAATTAAAAAGGGTAAATAAAATTCTCTAAACTGTGAAAGCTGTTTTCATTTTGCTGGCAGGGAGTGTGTGTGTGCCTACGTGCATGCCTCTGTGTTTGTTTGTGTGTGTGTTTCGGAGAGGTTAACAGAGCCGGATCTGGCCCCATCTGTTGCCTGCTGCACTCTGAACCATTCCAGGGGTGCCAAGGTACCTGAGTGCCAACTTGATGGGAGCCAAGCCTTAATTCAAACACTGACAGCCAGCCAAAGAGAATGGTAGAGGGCTCGGCAGAGGGAGGGAAGGAGGGAGGGAGTGAGACAATCTGACAGGTGGGCAGATAAAAGTGGTTCTTCACTGCTTTTCAGTTTATTCCTTCTACTTCATTCACCCCTCTCTTTGCTATTTCTGCTTGGATGTATAAGAGCCTCTGCCCTCCTTCCGACTGTGTGTTTCACTCCCTGTCAGCAATTATGTTTTGCCCCTTCCCCTCCTCCTCCTCCTCAGTCTGCTAATTCTCTGTCTCCCTGTTTCTCTCTTTGTCACACCTGTCTGACCAGTGGCTTAAATAGAGGGTTGATTGTTAGAGGCTGTATCCCGGCTGGCTCCAGATGCCCTTAACGTGACTGCTTGCTGGTACATCTGGTTACTGCAAAAAAAAAAGCCCCTCCACACATACACACACACACACACACACACAAACACACAAGCACTTCTTACTGGGCATTCATGCACACAAGCTCCCTCATCCTCAAGCTGCTCATGATCTACCCATCTTGTGTCTGTGTGAGTGAGGTTTGTGTGTAGTATTGACCTCCTGGGTCCTAATATGCTGTATTGACTAGCTGTGGGTTAAAGAGTTTGAGAAATGTGGTGCCCATGGTGGCTCAATCCGCGGTGGTACCTGAGGCTTCATATATGAAATGCCTGCTAATCTTGTCTTGCCTCTACAGAAGAATGTATCATGTTGATGAGCGCCTCTTTTAACCAAAGACATCTTCAAACCCAAGGAAAAATAATATGAGTATAGGTTTGGACAGTCTTTAACCCAAAAGGCACTTTGATATTGATTCTAGCTGTACGACTCAGCGCTGATTAAAGTACAGCTTGTTCTCATGGAGCTCTCTTCATGCTGCGAACTGTACCACACACAGTCGGGAAACAGCTTGAAATGCACTTCATCATCCAATATGCAGCCGTTTAATGTCCAGTGCTAAGACAGACCCAGTGTGTAAGATTGAAGTAATGCTGAGGGTGCAGGGTATATGGAAGCTGCTGTGAATGAGTTTGAATCAAATGACAAGGGATATATGGTGACATTTCAGCATGAACAAAACTTGGGGTTCTTGTTGTCTTCCTTAAATGTATAAATGATTTTTCAACTTGAACCCCCATAGTGCGTCAAGGTGGTATTAATGCTGGCCCCGCTTTTACAGAGACGACTGTATCACTTTCGGTTTTCCTACCAACGACAAAGGATACACTGCATCTTGTTTTCCACAGTTACTTCTGTTGTTCCACCATCCGCCAATTCCGCTACTGAAGATGGTAAAGAACTTGCATTGATACTTTCTGGGAACTAGGGACAGCCAACGATAGCTACCGATAGCTGTATTGATTATGCAGTGGTTGGTTTGTGCCATTCGTTGAGCCTTAATTTCCCCAGGAGATCGTAACTGGTGGCAGAAAAAATCGCGTAGTGGAAGCAAGGCTTTTAGGGAACCAGTTTAAATGCAGATAATGTCATTATTCTGTAGCTGTTATGTTATGTGATCAACACATAGACTCTAAAAATGAAGGATCTAAGAGCCAAATATGCCATTTGCTCAATGGACATTGGTTGTACCTACTATATAGTGGGCAACGTTCTGTGGGTTCAGTTTGGATAAAAGCTAAAGAAATGAACATTTATACAACCTGTATTTGGTGGCGTGATTAATACAATGATTGTTCTGCAACTGGAACCTGCAGCTTATTATCTGAACTCAACACAACCAAGGAAGCTGTGGCATCAAGTGTGCAAAGCGCGTCAACCAGGTCAGGCTGGGTGGGATTGAAAGGATAGTGTGCTGTCAAGGATGACACCCAGACTCTTAACCTGGGGACGGGTGAAACGGAGGAGTTATCAATAGTGAGAAAAAAGCTGTCAGTTTTGGATAAAGTGGATTTGGTGCCAATGAGGAGAACCTCGGTTTTGTTACTGTTTAATTTAAGGAAGTTTAGGGTGAACCAGGTTTTTATTTCAGTGATGCAATCAGTGAGGGAGGTGGGCGGGAGAGTGGACGAGGGTTTAGTGGTGAGGTAGAGCTGGGTGTCATCAGCGTAACAGTGGAAGTGAATGTTAAATTTGCAGAAGATATTGCCGAGGGGAAGGAGGTAGGTGATGAAGAGGAGGAGCCCCAGGACAGAGCCCTGGGGCACACCTGAAGTGACGGAGGAAGGGATGGATTCCTTGGTTTTTAAGAGCCAGAAGTGACTATATTTGGGAGCGAGATTGATCTAACTGAGAAGTTGAGAACACTATCAGCATACAGGATGTCACTCAAAGCCACTCACCCTTAATTATGTGTAATTTTAAGCCTGAACACAATGTAGACTGCTTAGTTATTAAAAAAACTCACTCCCTGTACAGTTGTCATGGAAATCAGCTACAGAGACCAAAACAATTTTTTGTACCAGACTGTAAACATGTTTATTTCTGGACATTTTCACATGGAGGTCCATGGGGATTGACTGGCTCCTGGAGCCAACCTCATGTGACCATTAGACAGACGGCACTTTGGTGTGTTGGCTTTATTTTTCAGCCCCAGAGGTTACCACATGAAGCAACATCTACTTCAAAGTAGTGCATTAAAGCAAATAATGTGTCTATTTCCACCTTAACTGTGAGCTTTTATTGTGATGTTTCCGTGTAAATAAGTACATCTGGTATGTTCGACATTTTATCTTTTCTGTCCCTGTATATGTAGTCTAGAAAACAGGAAGCTGGACCCCTCTCAGTCTATACCATGAGGTAAACAGTGATGTAAGAGCAGTATAGATCAGTGTGTGTGTTTGTGTGTTTGTGTGTGTGTGCGCTCCACCTGTGGTTCTTGTCCTCCATCTGTAGTGTGTAGACCATGTCATCAGCGAGCAGGGCGCGGGTGTGCGTGTTGCTGGCGTTTTCGCCCCACTTCAGCTTCAGGCTCTGAGGGCCGGCCGCCGAGCATTCGAGTGGGGGCGGGGCCGGAGGGAGGGGGCGTGTTCTTGCCAGCAGGGGTGGACTCAAGGGACTGGAGCCGATGGCATTCACCGCCTGGATATGTACACTGCAATGGAGGAAGAGACAGATGACGACTTATTACAGAGTGTACACTGTGAGATAAAACTTAGACACTCAAATACTACTTGCTACTTTCGGAAAAATGTCTTTAGAAATGGAGGTACTGGAGCATGCATGTTGTGTGCAGGCATTAAAGTCACACACCAAAAGAACATACATTAATGGAGGGTATGTACTACGTAACCTTGTTTGTTCTCAGCATGGTTACAGACCTATTTTTCTAATGGTGGAGTAATTTTCCATGAGGAGGCTGAGCTTGCGCATTAGCTTTGACCTTGGATGCATCTGTGATGCCTTCGCCCATTACCATTCACCCATTACAATTCAATGTACTCTCCCAGAGGAGACTTAAATACGTCTGGACTTGTTGGCCCACTTTTCCCCCCTCTATCTACAGTTATAGTAGAATGTATGAAAAAAAGCAATCACTGCTGAACAGTGTTTTACAGGATTTACTATTTGAAAGGAACTTTTTATTTTCCAAGCAACAGAAAGCAATTTCTTTCTTTTTCTGCAATTTGATTGAGGTTTAGGTTCCAAAAAGGCAATCTAGAGATTCTGGGTTCTGTGCAATGTGATTAAAAAGAAACATGAAGTAACATGAAGTCAGTTAAACTCCAGGGTTTTCAATCTGTCTATTTAGGAAGCCAAAGTGATTGTGAATCTGTTTTAGCTGCTTTGGTGCAAATCAAAGTGAACATGGGTGCAATGGAGAGGCAAAAGCAAGACAAGCCCAAAAGGGAATGGTTTTACATGTGGTGGCCACAGACAGTTGCTCTCTCCTTATCCTTCCTGACTGAATCTTCTCTAGTTTTGTGTTCTGCTAGTGTCCTTGTCACTACTGGTAGCATGAGGCGGTACCTGCAGCCCAGTCAGGTTGCACAGGTAGTCCAGCTCCTCCAGGATGGCACAAGAAAGTTTGCTGTGTCTCCCAGCACAGTCTCAAGTTAGACAAGGAGAGCTGTACAGGGTCGTAGAAGGGCATCAACCCAGCAGCAGGACCGGTATCTGCTCCTTTGTGTGAGGAGGAACAGGAGGAGCACTGCCAGAGCCCTACACAATGACCTCCAGCAGGCTACTGGTGTGCATGTTTCTGACCACACTGTCAGAAACAGACTCCATAAGGGTGGCATAAGGGCCTGACATCCTCCAGTGGGACTTGTGCTCACAGCCCAGCACCATGCAGCTCAACTGGCATTCGCCAGAGAACAACAAAATTGGCAGGTCCGCCACTGGCGCCCCGTTCTCTTCACAGGTAAGAGCAGGTTCATACTGAGCACATGTGACAGGCGTGAAAGGGTCTGGAGACGCCGTGGTGAATGTTATGCTGCCTGTTACATCATCCTGCATGAACCATTTGGAGGTGGGTCAGTGATGGTCTGGGGAGGCATATCCTTGGAGGGTTGCATAGACCTCCATGTCACAGCCAACAGTACCCTGACTGCTGTTAGATACATGTGGCCAGAGTGTGTGGGTAGTTCCTGGATGATGAAGGCATTGATGCCATTGACTGGCCCTCTCGTTCCCCTGACCTAAAACCAACTGAGCACCTATGGGATGTTATGTATTGCTGCATCCAATGCTGCCAAGTACCACCAGGACTGTCCAGGAGCTCACTGATGCCCTGATCCAGGTCTGGGAGGAGATCCCCCAGGACACCATCTGCCAGCTCATCAGGAGCATGGTCAGATGTTGTCAGGAGTGCATACAGGTACGCAGGGGTCATACACACTACTGAGTCACATTATTATAAGTTGGATCAGCCTGTGATTTCAATTCTTTACTTTGATTTTTGGTGTGATTTTGAATGCAGCCCTCAGTGGGCTGATGAGTTTGGTTTCCACCGATCGTTGTTGCATCATTTTGTTCTCAACAAATTATACAATGTACATCAGTTCATCAAAATCTGATGTGATTTAAGTGTTCCCTTAATTATTTTTGAGCAGCGCATTTTGCACATTATACATCTATAATTAAAAAATACTAGGGATAGACCGATATGGATGTTTTAGGGCCGATGCCGATGCCGATTTTTTTCCATCACCCTTAGCCGATGACTGATTATGGACTGCCGATTTTCTTGAGCCGATATTTGGGGCCGATACTGCTCTTGCTCCCTCAATTTACATAAAAAAAATGACACAATGATAACAAATATTACAGGTCTCAAGTTTAAAATAAGAAACATTTATTGAACAGTAAAAAATACTAAAACAAGATGGAAAGTTGAGGTAGAACAGGTAGAATATTATTATTATTATTATTATTATTATATATTCAAATAAAAAAAAAGAGTTCAGTGCTCTTAAATCTTCCAGTAATGTCTTTATAAAATAAACAAATATTTAAGCTGAAGCATAAATAAAACAACAACTACTGTACACAGTAGGATTCAACAGCTTTGTTCAACTTAACCACATACTTTCAAATGAAAAAAAGTGCCAGGGAAAAATAAATCTGCGAACCCACGCGCGTATCGGCCGATACAGTAAAAAACTCAAATATCGGCCCGATATATCGGCCGGCCAATGTATCGGTCTATCTTTAAAAAATACTAGCACACACATGCACACGCTCAAGGGCACACAAATCTCCTGCCAATTAAAAAGCACTTGCAGGAATGGATTTTTGTTTTTTCAAAGTCCCCTGCGGCCTTTCTTCTAGGAATCCCCCTCCTTCCCTCACCCTTTTTCAGTCCATGTCTGATCAGCTGATTAGCATCCATATCAGAGGCTCTCAGCTAGAAAACATCCACCGTCTGACATTTAATTGCCGATTCTCTGTAACTGTAACCTTTCATTAAAATTCACGCGGCCAAGTGAGGGCCGATGAGAAAGGGCAACGTTCATCCATCCACAGGGTAATTAAGCATATAGATGAAAGATGATGAGGTATGGAGAAGAAGAGAGAGAGTTACAGATAAAGGATCTCGGGAAGGATTTGCATATCAAAGTTCAGAATACATACAGTGTTAGTTTCTCTGCATTTTGTTTCATCAAGAAAAGACAAAATCGAACAGTAAAGATGAACAAAAGGTACATGACACTTTTAGAACCATTTTTCCTGCTGAGCAAAACACTGAACCTCCCACCGAGTCTCTTGTGCTCAGCGTAATGACGGCTAACCAAATTACTAGAATGTAAATAAAATGTTGCAAGCAGGAAACAAGTTGCATAATTGTACCTTCCTGCAAACGCGTCTATTTTCGTGACGAGCATGAAACATGCAGTCCCCTTTAATTACTTGTTGGTAGTAATTGACATTTTGTGGATTTCTCCCCTGTTTAATTAAGTGTGCACTTCCTTAGCATTGGAGCTTTATTGAATGTGTAATCCCTGTGGCAATCATCCTCTCAAGGTGTCTCTGCAGACTTAAAGACCTTTTAGTATTAGTAATGGAATGTGATGGCATTGAGAGAAGATGCACAAGAAGGGCTGTAAAACCTTACATCTGAAGAAAGAAAACACTGAAAAAAATGTCTGCTGCCTTTTATTTATTTGTACTGAAGACGTTCCGCAGAGTCTTTGGACACCTAAAGGTTATGAAGCCTCTAATGAAAAACATGACATTTAATAAGAAAACACATTTAAAAATCCAAACTATTATTTACAGGTTGTAGGTGGTTTAGATGTACTATTAAGACTTTTTTCTCAACATATACAGCGCTGAAGGAAACTAGAGTTACTGCCTTGTGGTTCCATGCTTCTGTGCACCTGTCAAGTTGCACTTACGGTTAACAAGGATGCCTCACACACATCCCCACACTCCTAACACCACAAATGATCTATACAATCAGCACAGTTTCAAGGAGGACACCTAAGATTACTGTCACCAATTCAGTCTCTGATCAAATCCTGTCTTTTCTGTTACCCGATTTATGGTGTTGAATAATAGCCAGAAAGGTTTTATCAGGTCACAGTGACCTTCACCTTCGACCACTGAATATAATCAGTTCATTCTTGAGTCCTAGTGGACGTTTGTTTCAGGTTTGAAGAAATTCCCTCAAGGCGTTCTTGATATATTGTGTTCACAAGAATGGGATGGACGAACAACTAGAAAACATAATGCCTCCAGCCACAACTATCATCAGCCTGGAGGCATAAAAACAGGGTTCCTACATATTTTCCATTTCAGAATTCCATACTTTTCCAGACCTTTCTCTTATCTCTGACCTCTTAATACCGTGCCCGCCAGGACATACTTTGAGGTCCTCGGGCAGAGGTCTTTTGTCTGTTCCAGAGGCTCGGCTGAAAACTTAAGGGGACAGAGGGTTTGCTGTCAGGGCCCCGAGGCTCTGGAACAGTCTGCCCAAGAAAATCAGGTTGGCTGAGTCAGTGATCTCTTAAAGTCCCTTCTAAAAACATACTTTCATCGGAGAGACTTTCCTGAGTTTTAAGTTCATTTGTACAGAAGCGTATTGCATTCACTTGACAAATAAATAAAGCCCTGTGAGTATTTTTTTCTGTTTTTCGGAGTAATTTATTTATTTTTCTGTGTTTTTGGTGTAATTTTTTCTGTTTTTCTGAGTAATTTTTTTCCCCTGCTTTTCGTGGTAATTTTTTTCTGTTTTTCGCGGTAATTTTTTTTCCTGAACGTGGAGACGAGATACTTCAAAATCTCGCGAGAAGCTCCCACCTGGCACCTGCAAGTGACCGGTGCCTGCGTAAAGTCGACAAACTAATGATAACACCATCTATATGACTTAAAGACAAGAGTATCTCCTAGTGTCTCAAACCCAAAACAAAGTAAAACTGGATTAAACTAAACAAGCGGGTCATGTTTGCTTCCATTATATCAAGCTCTCAAGAAAGGAATGAAAGCGTCTGTTGTTCTATTGCTCTCTTAACTCAGAAAAAAATACTCAGAAAAACAGAAAAAAAACCCCCAAAAAACAAAAAAAAATACCACAAAAAACAGAAACAAAATTACCACGAAAAACAGAAAAAATTACACCGAAAAAATAAAAAAAATGACTCCAAAAAATAGAAAAAAATACTCAATAAAACAGATTTTTTTTATTTGCAATACGCTTCCGTACATTTTAACCGTCTTTTATCTCCTCAGTTTTTATAAACTTCAGTGTTTTTATCAGTTATTTTGTCATTATTATTATTATTTACCATTTGGAATCCTTAGCAAACTAAGCTTTATATTTGGGAACGTCAACCAGAGACGACATTCCACTGTCAAAAGAAAAGTAAAACCAATATTGCCTGAAGAAATTACTGCAAGGTATTAAATCATAAAACCATGACTGAAGAAACACTACTTTAATCATATATTGGTCAAATTGTGTGCAGAACTGAAACTTACCCCAGTATGCAGAAATGATTTTGAAAAAAGGCAATGTTCCTTTTTTTTCCTCGCCAGTATTTAGCGCAAATTTGGAGCCTTATTTGGCCCCCGTTACGACAAGATGACATGGTTGGCACTAGTGGGTGCCTTGGGTCCTCTATTTTAATATGACACTTGTGTCTTCACTGTAGCTTTAAAACTGAGCCCCATACAGCAGGTTATATTCGCTAACATTACTCTGCCTCACTTCTCACCTTCACCTCTGTTTGGTCCTTGCCTCTTTTCTTTTTTCATTACCTTGTTCTCTCTGTTTTGGTGAGGCATTCTGATTTTGCCCATCAGGCTGCAGTTTGTATGTCCTATGCAAAGATGCGCATCGGGCCATGGTCATCTGTACCCTCAGACGGTGGGCCTGTCCACAGCTTCTATGCAGCTTTGTTTATTCACTGTGTCCATGAAAACAACAATGAACGTAGCCAAAAAGGTTCCAAACGTTCCAACAAGTTCAATATTTGCTTATTTGTGGTGCTACGTTTATTTGCACTTTCTTTCAAACCATCTTGGTGGCAGATGTCCTGATTTGGTTCAGTTATAAAGCACTTGGAGCAGAGCTATTTTACAGGTGTGAAGTGTAGAGGCACCTCTGCAAAAGAGTGCGCGTTTAGTTGCATGCCAAACTTCTTGCCTTGTTTTCGAAGATGTCACTGGCTGTTCTGCCTGCTCCAAACACCATGAAAAACACTACTTAATTCTGAAATTCTGAATTTTACATTTTAGAAAACAGAGTAGGGGCAACAGCCTGTAAACACAAATATTTTTCCATACTCTCTTTTATTTTTTTGTATATTTATCCAGACCTGGACCTAACTTAAATCCAATCCCATGCCTGTCTGTAGCGTAGGAACCACGAAAAAAGAATCTGATTTACTGTTTTTCTCTTGAACATACAACTATTGTTACTAAGGACAGTTCTCCAGAGCATGGACAGAGGAGAAGAAAAACCTCTTAAGTCTAAACATTATTCATCAACAATAGGACATTTTAAACCTGCACTACAGCACACACAGCCCTGCTCCGACAGAGCAAACATCTACTGCCGTCCTTTCCAAAGCTATACACACAAATGAAATATGAATAATATTATTTGAAGCACCCTGCTGCTGTAAATAACAACCAGAATTACCGTCACTGTCACACACAAGCACTCCCACAGGCAGACTCTCATGCACACACACACACACACACACACACACACACACACACACACACACACGTACAAGAGCGCACACATGCACATTGTTCTGCCTCGGTGGCAACCATTATGCAAGAGAGCAGAGTGACACTGGGACAAAAACAACCTCAGAATGAAAACAATGGTGTGTGATCGCTGTGCCTCGTCACGTCATCCTACCTTGGACGCCTTTTTTAACCCCCTCGATTCAGAGAACTCACTGCACAAGCACACACAGGCACACACACACACACACACACACACACACACACACACACACAGAATCACATATAGAGGCATATAGCTGGTGATTCGGACTATTAGGTAGTTGTTTACTGTTGCACTTGCACAACAGGTTCTGACATCTCTGCTAATGCCAACATCATACAGGCTCTCCCTACCTACTATATACATATAATCCTACTATTACTACTACGAGGCATGTACCCGTTTCATGTGTCACACTGTTGGGAACAAGAGACAAAGTAAACATACAGTAACTTGCGCTGCAGCCTCACAGGCAGACAGCCTGTTGTTGGTTTCAAGGACTCAAACTCAATTTTCATGAGTTGAAAGTGACCTTGAATCCTGACAAAATAAAACTTTTGATGTTTAAAAACTCAAAGAAAATCTCTTATCACATTTCAGGGCAACACGATTGAATCTGTATCTTTACATCAAATTTTTAACTTATCAATCTCTCTCTTTGAAGCCTCACGTTCAGCAACTTGTAAAGAAGCTAAAGCTGAAGGTGGGTTTTTATTTTAGACAATAAGTCTCACTTCTCTTTGATGCAAAGAGATATCTAATTGCTGCAGCTTCTATGCATGTGATTGACTATGTTAATGTTATATATGCATCTCTGAATGCCTTCTCTCCTTAAATACCGTGAGGTTCATCCCAACTCTCGAGGCCCTCACTGGATGGTAAATGCTAAGTGGAGCTACACTTGTATAGCACCTTCCTTTCTACTCTTCCGACCACTCAAAGCGCTTCAACGCTGCATGTCACATTCACCCATTCACACACACATAAGGCTACCATACAGGTGCCACCTGCTACTCAGCTTAAACGCACTCAGAGGCGTCAGGAGCAATTCGGGTTTCAGTATCTTGCCCAAGGAAATACATAAGAGGATAGAGGAGTGTTGTTCCTTTATAAACGGATCAAACGTCTCGCCAAGGAGTGTTGCTAGGGCTGGGTGATATGGACAAACAGACATATCTCTGTATTTTCAGGCTGAATGGAGATACAAGATTTGTATCTCGGCATTTTCTATGACATACGCTACGTGTTCATGGCTGAAGTTCCCTGCTATTTTTGCTACATGTTCACCTGTTGGAGGTGAGCTGTTTGCAGAGGTGCAGTAAGAGCCTGTTGTCTGCAGCTCTTCGTCAATATCTCACTGTGGCTGGTTCTGCTTTCACTTTCCTCCCTTGCTGTATTATTAGACTTGTCTTTATTGAAGAAAAGCTGCTAATAAAGTTCTGCTAATTCGGTGATAAACATATTTAATTTCCTAAGATTCTTCACAAAAAAGTCCTGTTATTTTGTCAGGTATAAACTTTTATTGTGAAGCAGCAAAATAAGGGAATGTTGAGTTTTCGAGCAGCAACTTCACACAACGTCTAATACGGCTACTAGCAGATATGAAACAGTAAAATAAAGCAGATATCCAAAGTAAAAACAGATGCAGGAGAGAAACTCAACTCCAAACCACAGAGATTCAGTTAAAAGCTGCAGAAGTACCGAGAGCTGAACACACAGACTTTTAAAAACACCTTTCTTTCTCGTCTCCTGCAGACCGAGGTGAGGAGAGTCTCACAACACTCAGGCTTGTTTGAGAGGGAGAAGCTGGGTTGTCAAGGGTTCGCCGCGGTGGGCAAGACGTCACCGCTACCTGCTCGAGGGCGGGCAGCCCAGCTGTTGGACCTACTCTATAAAGGTCAGTCGCACTGTAGACTAATGAACAGACAGATTAAACTGAGGAGCAGCTCTGTGTCTCTCTGAGTGTTGATGGAGAACTTGTGGGTTAGTGAGCAGGGCGGAGCTGTGCGGAGAGTGTAAGAGAGGAGAAATGCACACTGGTTTGTGTTACATAACACAACTTGACCCTATATTGATAAATATATCCATATATCGTACATAGTCGTTATATCGCCCAGCTCTAGGTGTTGCTATGACCAGTCTCGTGGCATCAATGTCAGACACTGGAGGCAGCAATTTAAAAAAAGCTCTTAAAATTGACTGTACTCTATCTATTAATACAGATTCATTAATCAATATTTAATACTGGTGTAAAAGGGAACTATGTTTCAGAAGCTCTGACATCTGATGTTAATGGACACCTGCCCATCAGTTACTGTCTATGGTTGTATATTCGGGTTTGATTTGTAGCTCATGTGCGTCAAAATGTCAGCCCATGATTTGCTGATCATCATCAGTATAAATCCTTGTGTCCAGTAAAATCTTAGATTATAGGTTCCCTCACATTAACCCTGCCGTCTGCTAATTTACGCCAGTACCTGTATTCGCTGTCAGGCTGCAGCCCTGTGACAAGGTGACTCATCCCCGACTCCACAGTGATGGTTTGGTCGTCCAGGGTGATGACGTAGGAGGCGATCTCCGCCCCGTTGCTGTTCGGCTCATCCCACTTCAGGAGGAGGCAGGTAGACGGGGAGTGACCTGCGTCCAAGGATGTCGGGAGGTCCAGGAGCGAGAGGGAGGAGACCTGGTCGGGATTCGTTGCCGGGGTCCGGAAACTCACCTGCTCGCTGTAGGGACCGGCGCCTGCCTGGTTCACCGCCTGTGTTGGACACAAAAGATGAGGAAATTTGAGGACAGAAAATCAGAGAACCAAGTCAGATAGATGAAGGTTAAAAAACGGGTTAAAAAGAGAAGGAGACAGAGGTGAAATGCACTGGCAGGAGAGAGTGACACAGACAGAGAGCAAGACAAAGTAAAATCGAGGGGAGAAACCGACATGAAGAATGGAACGCGAAAAGAAAATCAGCAGAGGGAGGTGAATTCAAATTAGTTGTGAAAGAACATCAGTCTATTTCTTCTGATGTGTGATACATTTATATTCATCTCGAGGAGCCTCTGTTAAACGCCCTTCAATCGCTTTTGAGTTGTAATAGTCTGCTTCATAGCCATGGACAAACTCAGAAGGACACCAGGACAAAATATACCAGCCTTTTAAAAAAACACATCTGCTAGGTTTTGAAAGCTAGAGACAAGACGAGCAAGGTGTCTGCAAGGAGCTACGGATTTATTGTAATGGTCAAAAAAGAAAAACAAAACACTACATTAAGAACATGAGGAGCACTTATTATTTTTCAGTATGAAATGTACTGTAGCCACTTTTCAAGAACAGCACAGTAACATTTACGTGCACATCAAGGAATGGAAGGCATGATTAGCAGTCTATGATGTGTACTTAGAGAAAAGACTTTATCTTGGCAAGAAATGATCTACATACTCTGAGGGTCTGACGAGAAAAGTTATGTTTCAGAGGTATTTCTGATTTACCTTATCATATAATATATGTGTTTAGTGAGGCTTGGAAAACATAAAGAAATCTGAGGAACTCTACATTTTTATTTCTTATCCTCCTCTTTAAAGTCCTTGTTCAGGATCCCTCAAAATAACACTGGTTGCACAAAACCCCCTTAACTCCTCTCCTTAAAATGTTCACTTAGGTATTAATGGTTTTCTCCTTGTCTTGATCTTATACTTAAGGAATCCATAGTCCGTTGCACAAAAGCAAGGTTTTCGTTGCTATTTCTTCCTACAATTCTTCTCTGTTTTCTGGTACTTGGGATCAAATTTACTTAGGAGTTTGTGCTTTCTATAACTGTTTTCCTAATCTTCTCCTCCTCTGACTGGTATGGTTTTCTTGTCTTCTTTTCTTCTGCCATTTTTAACAAAAAATAAGCCAACTTTGCGAGATGATAACAGGCATCACAAGCGTGAGTCCAAGCAAAGAATTAATCTCCATGGACGCTTTTACCGCTGTCAAATTCTGTGCAACTTTGTAAAGGCTAGTTCAGATTACACGATTTTCACCGCGATTTTGACGTCACAGAGGATCTTGAGAGCCACCTTGGGTCGAAGGTGAGTCGGCAGATAGTCTGTCACGACGAGTCCTCATGTGTGAACAAGCCTACGAGCAAGTCGCCCCCTCGTCTGCGACTGGGACCGGATATCTGGCATGCTAGAAAACTGGAGAAATCTGACACGACTGACGAAGAGCATCAGCCAATGAGAGGCGGGATACGTCCCACATCAGCACGCAGGAGGACGGAAGAAATGTGAGGAGGACAAGCTGCAGGGTTGCCAGCTCCAGTCGCTTCTTTTGGGCTTGCTTCCATAGCCCTGGTTGCTTGTTGCTCTCCCGAGATCTGGCAACACTGACAAGCCGGCAGCCCTGGAGGCAGATCTGATTCAACACTGGGAAGAATATCCATGCCTTTACGATGTGTCGTCTCCAAGTTAAAACCGTAGTTTGGTGACGTCACCACGTTATCTGGGGCTCTGACGGCAAGGGCTCGGTGCAGAAATCTTGTGGTGTGCACACACAGGTCGTAACGTAATTGGCGAGACTCCCAGTGACAGAAACACACGTCGCCAGGTATGAACACTCAAAAAATTACGATAGTCTCTGCCACGCAAAATCGGGGTGAAAATCGTGTAATGTGCCTTAAGTCCTTCAGCTAAGGAGAAATTAGGCCTTAAGTGTCATACTTGAGGATAAAACTTAAGGTGTTTTGTGCAACTGGCTGTTTCAAGTGTCTTAAAACAAGTGTATGTCAGCGCTGCTCCAGCAGGTGAACCTGCTCTGATTCATACAGCTACAGGACATAAGGAGTCACGGAGGGTTCAGCCAAGTCGATGCCTCTTGTGTGGTTTGCTCTTCCAAGTCCTCTTAAGAGGCGCATCTGTCTGATTATTCCACATATGAACACACACGTGCACTAAAATACACAAAGACAAATCAGGCACGTACACACACAAAGATTAGGACAACAGGAGGATGACCCTGTGCCGTCCTCTAAACTATAAATGAGCCCATAAAGAAGTGAGCCATAAACCATGCTGTTATTGGATTCATGGCTTCAGGGTACATCAGGGGGGAACGCAAGGGAGACAGTGTGTGTATATGTGCATGTGTGTGTGTGTGTGTGTGTGTGTGTGTGTGTGTGTGTGTGATAGACAAATACACAAAGAGAACTATTTATGCACCAGATTAAGAGTCAGAACACAAATAAAATCAATTATCATCAACCTTTCACTGGTCTCTGTCTGTTCGTGTGTGTTTCTTGCTTCTGAGGCTCCTGGCTGACATTTATATGCAGCTGTCTGCATTTGTCTGTGTCTGTGTGCCAAAGGAGTCTCTGTCATGTTTGCAACTGTGCTCATGTGTAATGTTTGTACATGTGTCTGTGTTCATGTCCTGTAATAGTTGATATGCTTTTTTATTTCCTGTAAACATGCTTGTGTATGACTGCAGTATCTGTCCATCCTGGAGGAGGGATTCCTCCTCAGTTGCTCTTCCTGAGGGTTTTCTTTGGGGAGTTTTTCCTTATCCGCTGCGAGGGTCCAAAGGACAGAGGGATGTTGTATGCTGTAAAGCCCTCTGAGGCAGATTGTGATTTGAGATATTGGGCTTCATAAATAAAATTGAATTGAAATTGAATTATCTGCATATGGGTGTGCTTAGGTGTAGATTTCGGAGGGGCGGGAGCAAGGGGCACGCCCCCCTTAAGATTTAGAGCATCGATAATAAAACATTAAAGTCGTAGTGGACTTTTATTTTGACAAAATGAAATATATTTGTACCATAAACTGAAGCAGAAAATGCACAAATTGGTGCATAAAATTCACCAGAATGCAGGAAATTAAGTGTTCGATGTTTAAATTTTTTTGGTGAAGGACCCCCAAAACTTATGTTTCATGAGGAAAAAAATAGGGAGTGCTACACTGGGTTAAGGTTTTGTGTAGTTAGTTGTAAAAACATCAAGTGCTCTTCAAGGATTGGGAAATGAGTCACTTGAAGATAAAAAAAGATGTTGTTTTTTATCTTTAAGTGACCGTTGTTTGATGTTTGTCCCCCACAATGTTGAAAAGAAACCCACGCCCTTGTGAGCGTGAAAATGTGTCCGTGTATTTAGTACCTATAAGCATGTTTAGAGTGTATGTCTGTGTGTGTGTTACCTGTAGCCTGCAGCAGAAATCTGTGGCAGGCGTCAGGTCGGACACTTCACACTGTGTGGCAGCTCCGCAGTAGATGAGCTCCATGGGTTCATCTTCCATCGCCCACTCCAGACGATACTCAGAGATGTCTGTACCCGAACCCTCGGGACTCTGCAGCACACAGAGACACACACTTAGCTCAGGGAAACAAGTGGGAACTTGAATTGAAAACAACACTGACAAAAATCAGGATATACAGCGTCACATTAAAGCAGACCAAAGGTAAATGATGGATACACTACTAGATACAGGCTTTACTACATTTAAGATTCGTCACCACAGGCTTTCTTTGAATTTGGATACATCAACCAGGATGAGCTGGATTGCTATGAACAACAAAATCGTCTGACTCTAGTTCGTAACAGCCCAGGAAGACAAATGTAAAGCAGCAGCCTTTCAGGTCAGTAGAAACAGAAAAAGGGAGGCTGGGCCTCTTTAGATAACTGCAAGAAATGTGGCATCTCTCTTTCTCTTGCTGTCTGTTTGTCTTGTGCATTCTTTGCTCATAAAATCTGATAAACACAGTAATGTATCTGGCTCACCTCCCAGTTGAGCGTTACGCAGGTGTTACTGGTGAGAGTGATGAGAGGTGCTCCGCACTGGCCAGGAGGGCCCGCTGCAGTCGTCACCTCTGTTGGCTCCGAGTACGCTCCGAACTAGACGAGAGAAACAGACACCACAGTCATGATGAGACAGTGTTACACAAGCGACAACGGCGGCACAAATCACACTGGGTTGCCTGTTAATGTGTGTACATGCAAGTGTGTTTTTTTTTTATTATTTGGCATGTTCCTCCTACTTTTAAGTGTGTGTGTGCTGTGTTTGTGTCTGCATCCCATCAGCCAGTCTGAGTGCTAGTTCACTCTGGAGTGTGTGCATGATTAAACCAAGCAGATGTTAGCTGTGGAACACTTGCGCATCTAAACACGGCTGCTGTTAGTCTGTCTGGGACACGCTGACCTAATAGATACTGGCCCTGTATCTGTGTGTTTGTGAGTGCGGCTACAATAAAAACCATTCTAATTTGAATGGAGTGGTTTTTTTTTTTTATTTTATTTGGATCATACTAAAAGGTCCCGCGGTTCATGTACTCGATGTGCTGGAGTAGATTTCACGGCCATACAGCCATTAAAAGAATTTTATGCTTGTACAGAGGAAAATGAGAAGTACTTTTATATATTTTGCTTTTATTCCTACTGGGTCTCATTCATGACATATGAGTAAATCTGTGAGCAGATGTGCACATAAAAAACTTGGTATTAAAAACCTATTCTGGATTCATGAATGCAGCGGAAAATTCAGATTGATCGTAGGCATGTATCAATCAAAAATTGACAGCGCGCTCCTGCTAGTCAGCAATTAGCATACATCCCCGCCCATGACTAGCTAGTGACCACCATATAAGGAGGTGATATTTACTATGGACAGGTGCATCCTGTCAACCTGGGGACATGGAGCCAACAAAGAAAGAGAAAGAGAGAAAGAGAAAAACTTGTCTGATGCTGACAACATTTTATTTTCTTCTGTTAGTAGTGGTGTGACAGGGACAGGTAAATCAAAGGCCTAACTGGTGCCGTTCACTCTGTGTCAGCTGTTATAAGAACCAACGAAAGTGGTTCGACATAAAACTTGATACAAAAACTGCTCAAGTATCATTAAGTTTAACACTAAATAAGACAGTCTGGCGTAAAACCACACCGTCTCCCTCCAAATCTCTGCCAGGTTCAGGCTCACCAGCTGCCCGGTGCGAGCAGAGACAGACGCCGAATTGCTTTCCCATGTCCACTCGTCTTATCAAACCCAAACGTCTCCCACGTCGTGTCTCTGATAATTAAATTAAGCAAAAATTACATGCAGTTTGGGTCTGCAGTGCATAAAGAGTGCAGAGGAGGAGAGGAGGAGCGCGCTGCTTTATTTTATTTATTCAGAGAACAGCGTTTTCCAGTTTTGTATTAAGTTGATTTAAATGACTCATTCACGTTTTTAGAAGCTTAAATCGGCTAAATGCCAACTAATTTAACTAAATGTATCTTATTTACACAAGCACTACGAGCAGTCAGAAGCAGGTGAGATTTTTTTAGTACCTACTTAAAGATCGGAGCTACTAACATATTGATGAATGCCGAAATACACGTAAATTTCCTTCTGCTCATGTTTCATGAATGAGACCCCTCCATCCATTTCCATCCGCTTATCCGGGGCAGGGTCTTGGGGGCAGCAGGCTGAGCAAAGCACCCCAGACGTCCCTCTCCCCAGCAACACTTCCCAGCTCCTCCTGGGCGACCCCAAGGTGTTCCCAGGCCAGGTGAGATATGTAATCCCTCCAGCGTGTTCTGGGTCTACCACGAGGCCTCCTACCAGTGGGACGTGCCTGAACCACGTCCAGAGGGAGGCACCAAGGAGGCATCCTGATTAGATGCCCGAACCACCTCAAATGTTTCCTCAACCTTTTGGCGCGAAGAAGCAGCGGCTCCGCTCCGAGCTCCTTACCCTACCTCTAAGGCTGAGCCCACCCATTGGCTGCAGCTGAATGAGACCCATTGATCGTATTCCTACAGTGTGTGCGTGTGAATTTCTTACCCCAGCTTCGTTGGCAGCCCGCAGTTGGAAGCTGTATGTTGCACCCGGCAGCAGACTACCAACAGTGCACTGCAGCTCCGACCCATGATAGACCTCTGCTGGCTTGGTGTCGCCCTCGCTCATCTCCAAACTGAACACACACTCCTCACACACTCCCTCAGAGACAGGAGGGTCTGGGGGGACACAGAGAGAGTGCAATTACAAACTGCGATGAGATGACATGTAATCAAAACCATGTGTGATGTAAAGACACAAAAGATATGATGATATGTTTTATGTGTTAACTATAAAGGATTTACTCTGTTTATTTTTAGATGCGTTCACAGATCAGTTCACCAGGTGCATTTTGAAATCCCCTCTGAGGGATTCTTTCTTCCACCAGCTGCTTCACTTTGGATGCAGCACAGGGAAAGTAATAAATGACAGAGACAGTGGGGAAAACCCTCCAATACATTATGTCTGACCTTCAGCTCGAGCCAGTAATTGCAGCAGCACTGCCTGAATGTGAGCTGATTAGAATTGCGGCCAGCTGTTTTAAACTGGTTAAAACAAGAACTTCCTCGGCGTTTCAGGCTGGGAGACTTTTGCCTGCCAACAGATAAGAACGCTAATCTGCAATAATGGGCCGACATTAGGGGAGTTAAGTCAGATATGAGGCTAGGTTAGGCATTTAATGGGCTAAATTAGGGCTGAATTAGGCTGAAACATGGTTGACTAAGGTTACATTAGAGCTGGCCAGGGAAACATATTAAGCAACCAGAGGGTGATTTAGCCGCCTTATGTAAAAACATTCAAATGTATTCTGATAAATAAAACTAAACACAGTGTACGTGTATGTCTGCACTCACCCCATTCTAACTGCACTTCCTTGTGTTTGGCTTTACCCACAATCCTTGGTGGCTGGCAGCGGCCTGGTGGGACGCTTAATGTACGGACCGGAACACTAACAGTGCACTTCAGGAGCGGCGATAAACACAGGAAAGCAAAACAAAAGAGAAGGAACTGCAGTTATAGATCAGTTTGAATAATAGGCAGCAGAAATGTTAATTACACTCGGGTACTTTGTTGATTATCTGAGAGCAGATTCTAAATTCCCCTCATTTTTTTTTGCTAGCACTGATGCAGCACCGCCACCCCACTCCTAACTCAAGAACTGTTTGTGAAAAATCCAAAGTTTACCAGATGACCACTCTGAAGTTGTTGTTGCATGCATGAATGTTTGTTTGTTTCTTACAGGGCTGTGTCCTCCGGTTGTGATGCTACACACACGTAGGCGGTAGAAGGTCCCAGGTGTCAGGCGCTCACACACACATTCTGTTGCTGGACCAGTGTACGCTACCTCCCACTGGCTCGCTGCACACAAACACACACACATACAAAAAATTACACAACCTTTCACATGCATAAGAATAAGAGCACACACAGAGCCCCTTGCTGTTGGCACTCTGTAGTCGATCCAGTTATTTTCCCAGAAACAGAATCCCATTGACCTAATTAATAACTGCACAACTCTTTGTGTTGCTTTTATTGTTTAGTTGATGGATTGTGTAGGACTGTGAAAGGTATTATTCTACCTGTAGAGCCGCACTCCTGTTATGCAAATATAGATCCTGTTTGTACCGCAGCACAGAAAGCAATTTAACAGCAGAGGGGGCATACAGTATTTTATGATTATGTAATGCATACACTTGAGTTATTTACACACTCTGGCTACAACCCCTGAAGGTTAGTTGAGAATTTTTTGGAGAGGGGTTGTATGAGGTGCTTATTCATAGACAGTGTATTACCTACAGTAGATCCAGTTTGGAGACGCTAAGTGATGTGTTGCCGTGGACGGGGGCAGCAGCAAATGTATATTAGTCATCTAAAACATCAATTTCAGTTTAAGTGAACACTTTATTTAGAATATTTTCACCGCTTTACCTTGCAGTCAGACATCCCTTTCCAACAGGGGACTGCAGCTGTTACTGTATGTCGCTCTCGTCAAAGCCGCCAGACTCCATTGACAAAGACTGTAATTTTACCTCTCAGAACACAGGAGTTTCTAGTCAACAGTTACCCTGATCAGTTAGTTTTTTTGTTATTGTGTGACTTTGGTATATTAAAGGGTGAGTTTGAATCCACCAAAGTCACACAATAAGACAAACAAACTATCCAATAGAGGCAGTAGTAGCCCCATGGAGAGCCTATGAAGTGCTGTGAAGTTTAGTTGATTCAATACACACATTAAACATGGGTTAATAGAGACAATTTCAAACACGAGTACACAAATCGGCATCACTATAACTCGCAGGATTCACAGACAAAGCACTTGTCTTTATCTGGACACATTTTCCCCCACAAACGCAACATGCTAATGTTTTTAGCACAAGCCTATGGCATTTTACATTGTATAAATTAGCCTAGAGGCTAGCAAACTTTTCCTCTACCCATTAAATGAGGGACAACAGCAACAATAAACAAAGGTAGTGTTACAAAATTTGGCTCCATTAGAACTGACAGGGTTCACTAACAACTGTCTTATACTAAACATGTTTTCCAAACAAATACAACATGCTAACGTTATTAGCACAAGCCTATGGCATTTTACATTGTATAAATTAGCCTAGCGACTAGCAGAGATTTCCTCTGCTCATATGAAGCCAGGATTAATCACACACAAGACTTAAAATGCTATTTTGTGGAGGCTTTATTGTCTTCACAATTTGTTGTTTCTGATCTGTGAAATTAAAGTAATAGACCAGAGAAAAAATAGACAATAGGTCTGAGGAGGTACACATCAGGCTTTGTAATGTGAACTCCCACTATATTTTTTAAATGTGTATGTTGGCCTGTTTTGTACTTGTATATCAGAAAGTTCAGTACAGACTTTGTACAAAAAAAAGGACTTTTTGTCAAAGGACTCTGGTGGCTTTGAAAACAGCTTCAAGGGCTGTCTGACGACAAGGTCAAGCGGTGAAAATCTTCTCAATAGCATAAAATTAAACTGATATTGATTTTTTTTTGGGTGGGCCTGTCTTTAGGTGGCTAAAATATGCCTTGCTGCCACCCTCGTACACAGCAGTACATAGCTTTGTTTCCGTATCTGACTTCTGCCTGCTTCTCCAAACTGGGGGCACAACAACCGCCATCTATTGTAGGTAATACACTGACTAAGGTGGGAACCTCATACAGCCCAACTTCAAAAAATCCGAATTATCCCTTTAAATGGAGTTCAAGTAAACTTTCAAGCACTGCACATAAATAAATCAGTGACTGCTTAGAGGTTAGCCAAACATCTGTTTCAGAGCAGTTAAAGCTACACTAACAAAGCACATTAATACTGTAATGAATTACAGCAACCACAATGACATGAGTCAGGGCCTGACAGTTCACCGCTGGTGCAAGTTAGTGAGAGGTGGGAGGGTGAAAAGGGCTCACATGGACATGATATACAGATCAGAGAACAGGGGAATCATGGGCAATAAAACGACTGTGATATGTGACATATTTGATATTTAAAGGTGCATAAATTCTCTTGTTCACGGTCCTACATGATTACACAATTTTGTGCAAAAGCAGAACAATTCTGATTGACTCCCATGAGATATTTCTGTATTTTGTGTGTTCTTCTCACTGCTTTAAAGTTAGAAAAAGGTTGTGTCATGTTCTTTTCCGCACCGATTTGTCACACTGGAGTCAGAAATTGACGACAGCTGGCGGGTTGTTAGGTCACTGTCAATCAAATCTGATGAAAAGACACCCGGACAGGTCTGATGAAGCAGGTGAGGTGTTTGAACGTTGACCTCTTGATAAAAATAACTAAGGATTAAACCTTTATTATTTCTTATCATGTTCCAATATTAAATTCTATAGAGAAATACATCTGAAGCCAGGTTTTCAGGGCCATTAAGAGTTCAGATTCCAGCCTAATTATAACATATTTTTATCTAATAAAAGCACAACTGCAGCAGTTGAGATAAATCCTAACACATCCAGTCATGCTGACTGAAAAAGCACAGAGTAAATTTAAGTTGCAGACAAGCCAGGGGCTGAATTAACCAATTACATCAATTTAGCCCACTTAGTCCAAACCGCTGGACTTGTACTTAGATATGTGCAGCTGTTCTTCCTCTTTTATTACCACTGAAAAAAGACCATGAGCTTTTAATGTTCTTTTTATCTGTTGTCAAGAGAGAGTCGACGAGGACGGAGAGAAACGTATGCTGCTCAGACTGTAAAGACCTCTGAGGTGAATTTGTGATTTGTGACAATGGGCTATGTAAATAAAATTGACTTGACTTGTCTCCAGAAACAACTCCTTTTTCATTCATGTGATTCACAGGAATATGAGAAATTATGCCACATTCCGCTCCCTGCTGAAGAAACAAGAGAACATTTGGTTCTCTTTTCCTGAAAATGTGAACAAGTTATGTGCGTTAAATTGATGCTAACAAAGAGCAAATTATGGCCTCTATTCTTCTTGGGAGAGTAAGTGAAAAAAATGGATGCACAGAGAGAATGAGCACAGGGGAGAGAGGACGGATGGTGCATTTTGAGCTTTGTTTCATAAGATGATAGACTGAAAGAGCACTCAGATTAGCTGAGTGTGTGGCATAGATGGACGGTTGGACAGACAGATAGAGCCGTACCTTCGGAGCATCCCTCTGAGATCTCGAGCAGGTACGTAAGAGCCTCTGAGCCCCCGTTGTCCTGGGGAGGATCTGTTGGAGGAGAAGATGGCCTCGTTTTAGTTTGGGTTAACATCACAAATGAAATAATCATTTAAATTTTCCAACATGGCTTTTATGGTTTCAGGAAAAGGTGTAAAATCACTAAAACTAGTCCATACCCATTGAGTGCACAGTTGCCCATGTATGGTTTAACATGGTGTGTGTTTGGGGTACAGGTCATAGGAAACTGCAGATTAAATAGTCAACTGAACCCATTAAGAAGAGCAATGTATTCAGACAGTTTTTGTGAATTTGATAGCACGATTGCTTTACTGAAAGTAGAGTAGTACCATTGCCAAAAGTGGGATAGTTAGTGGGCTAAAACTGTACATTAGTAGTTGAGGTAGCACGTTGAAAGGCAGATAGTTAAAGTGTTTAAAAAAACACTTGGCCACAGGGGGAGCCACAGCGATCGGTCGCATTTTAGCCATTTTTAAGCATTTTTCTGTTGTTATAGCACCACCCAGTTGCCAATTAGAGTTAAATTTCTCCAGTCACCTTGAGGCGTCCTGTTCTACATATCTACCAAGTTGAGTAAAAATCGATATGGCAGTTAGGCCTAGATAAGAAATTAGCTCTCTAGAGCCCCCATTTTGTTTGATGGGGTCAATAATGGAGGGGTCCCCTCAGATTATGTGTGGTCATATGCCTACAAAGTTGCGTGGTGATTGGTGAAACCCTTGAGATGTTATACACCTTTATGTGTTTTTCAAAAAATTCAAAATGGCGGAAAATCTACGTATATAACCGGAAGTTATGGGTTCTTGAGGCAAATTTGTTCCTCATGAGGAGAGGCATCTCTGTGCAAAGTTTCATGTCTCTATGGCATACGGGGCATGAGATATGCCCATTCAAAGTTTGTAATTTCAATCGGTTGCTATAGCGCCCCCCTTTGGCCAATTGATGTAATATTGCTTCATTCGCATCCTCCCATGACCCTCTACCACTGTGCCAAATTTCACATGGATTGACCAAGTCAGTGAGGAGAAAAACGTGGAACAGACACATACACACACACAGAGTTTTCGTCATGATATAGTAAGACGTCCCAGTATCAACACACATCTATACAAAAACGATACATTAAGCATCCTCATCAATCCTGAAGACACTCCACAATAACTCATAAGCTGTCAGAGGCTGTTGCAGATTATCTTTCAGCCAAACAAAAATGACACTTCTCTCAGAGCGCCGTTTGCAAACTGCTGCCAATTATTTCAGCAACAAGGGAGCTGCTAAGAAATTGTTCCATTATTTCGGTATTCATCTTTTGTTTTTTAAAGAAACTTTTCAGACGTGCTGATGGTAACAGCAAAATAACACACTGATTTATTCTGAGATTAGAGGTAAATCAGCACTGCTGGAAACAACCTACTTGGCTGAGCGTCATCTGGTACTTACTGTATCAACACTGTTGCCATAATTAAAGTTTGACACACTTGGGTGGTGCTGTTTTAGAAAAATAAGCACAAATACAGCACACAATCGGGTAATGCAGTGCAGCTATATCATTTTGAATCTGTCACGCTGCAGCTAGCGTAGGAGTTGCACTATTTATGACGTAATAAAGACAAGTGTTTAGCACTTGAGAATGTGTTGTGTTTATAGCTATTAAAGTCAAATCAGTGATCTGAATGGTGATTGAGAGGCACGCAGCAAGACTGGTGCCATGTTCGCAACATTTGAGTAAGGGCGGGCTGCCCTGACTCCTGTGGAGGACAGATGGATGATAGCAGACATAATGGCTTTTATGATCGCTACCTCAGCTTCATGACAACACCCCAGAGGCAGCAGTTTGTCACCGTTCATCAATACTTTTATTCTGCACTGAGCACGCCACGATTTTTTCTTCAGGTTGTGTTCAAGGTGTCTATTGTTATTGAAAACAAAACTACTGTACATTAGGAAAGGCATTTAAAAAAAGTATGTCACCGACTGCACTTGAAACCAGAACATTTTAAAACCTTTTCTGTTATTCCAATAAAAAATATATAATATAATATATAATAATATATTATCAAGTATGATGGGTAAAACTGTCAGAACAAGTCCAAGATTGGTACAAAAACATATTATTTTGATTGCATCTGTACGTTAGAAGGTGAATTATATATGATCATTTCAAGTTAAAGAGGTCCTGTTATGCCTTTCCATATTTTGTGTCTTATATATAGTGTTACAATGAAGGATCTTCAGGGTAACCGTAGCCAAAGTTTAATCCCTGTGAGCAAAAACTTTCCCGTTCCAGCAATTTTTTCTACTCTGGCAACACACAACGTTTGGTCATGGACTTTTCACGTCCAAATATGATGTGCAAGGTACCCCGGGTGCGTTGGTTGTTGGCGTTCTGGGGCTCTGTGTCAAGTTCTTCCTGTTACATGCATTGTCTCCTTTCAAAATACACTTCCATTTTCACAGGTAATTTACCATTTACATACAGTCTCTTTCAAAATAAACTCACTACGTCAGTACAATACCGCAAATTAACATTTTATTTCCTTGAACAGCTAACGCACATGGTTGGGTTTCAGTGAAAAGACCAGGGTTTGGCTTTAGAATCTTACGGGATACAAACAACCCATCCACTCGGACTTTCACCGCCTTACCTTTCGCTCTTGTCCCTCCACTTTCCCCCTGACACTGCTAGCCGCCTCTAAACTATAATGGCGACCGGCCACATATCATGCTGATCATGCATACTAATCGGACGGCTTTTTTCATCGGTGTCTGACACAGGAAGTTACCGCCCAAGTGCCAGATTTCGACAACTTCAGAGTGAGACTGGGTTGACTCTGGCTACAGTATGACATTATAGTTCCAGATTTCTATGTATGGTCATCTGCTCCAGGTGTTTACATTACGTAGCCAGCACTGCTACATGTAGCTACATGCTAACGGCAGGGAAACATGTAATATTAGCTGCTGAAGTTGCAAATTTCCCCCCAGTGTCAGATCATATTCTCGGTGGAACATGTCTGGTTGTGTTTAGAAGCTATTGGTGATTTTTTACAATGGTAAGCGCAGCTTTTCCCCATCACAGGCCTTTTCCTGGCTTCAAATACACTGCTTACCTATGTGTAGCTACATGCTAACGTCAGGGAAAGTGCAGCCATTCTCTGTTACAGTTATTCCCCCACTGCAATGATGGTGCAGAGACGCCAAGACCCAGAAATGGTGACCAATCAGACTGGGCTTTTATTGTGAGGGGGGCTTAAAGAGTAGGGCTGTCAACGAATATTCTAAATTCGAATTTAAATTCGAATTTGAAAAAAAAAAAAGGACCTTCAAATGTGAAAATTGATATTCGATTGTGGAGAAAAAAAAAAAAAACACCACCGCAGCTGTCCTCTTTGCGAGTGGGCGTTGGCATCAGATGCGCACTTCTCCAGCCTGGTCGACAAGCGGTTCTGCTCCCAGTTGTTGTCTCCGTCACCCGGCTTGACACAATCGCTCGCGGCTCGCGCAGAAAATAGACCAGACGCCGAAACGATCGCTGCAGGGCGCGAGCCGGTCACAGTCTGGTGCTTCGAGGCTATTCGCAGCGCTTCCACACTACGTAACGTAATGTTATAGATAATTGTTTTAATGTGTAGGTATATAAATGTTTTCAAAGACGTTTATGTTGAAATAAAAATACCTACAAGTAGTTATGTTTCCTTGTATTAATACATATACAAGTATGTTTCCTTGTATTAGTTTGCCCTCTTGTGGACATAATGCGGAAAAAAAAATATTCGAATGGTTCGAACCTATGAGTTATTTTTAGAAGGAATATTCGAACGTCATTTTTGAGCAATTTTGACAGCCCTATTAAAGAGACAGGTGCTTAACGGAGTGTTTCAGTCAGAAGACAGAAACCTTAAATACAAATATGAACCTCAAAAGTAGCATAATAGGTCCTCTTTAAATTATACTTTGGTAGTCATGTTAGTGCAGCTCCCTGTGACTGCGTGCATTTCCTCTTGCATCATGCCAGTGTTCCAGATCATGCAATTGTTTGTGTTCTGAATATTGTCCATTTCTGTGTCCATGTGAGGGGAAGTGTATGTGTTACGTGTGGGTGTGTGTCTTTACCCCATGTGACGGTGAATCCGTAGGGTGTCGCTGCGGTGACACAGGGCGTAGATGGAGGGCCTGGTTTGTCTGGATTGGTGGTGCACACCAACACTTCACTGGGACTGCTCTTTCCCTCCATGTTCGACGCTATGAGCTGCAGGGAGGGGGAATACGGAGGAAGGATGGTGTGAAGCATAAGGGAGGGATGGAGGAAAGAAGAGGGTAAAACAAAAAACAAAATGAGTAAAGATGGAGTGCAAGACAAAACAGAGAGGCGCAGTGAGCGTGGAAATCTATCAAGACGTAAAGAAACCATGCTGATTAATAGGAGCCATTACTCTCTGCTCCTTCATCGGTGGTTCTCCTGGCTCCTCTGCCTTCATTTCTCTTCAGCTTAATCCCTCCATTACCTCATTGTACGGACAGTCAATTTGCTTTGTTCCCAGACGCTCGCTCTGGTCGAGCGTCACACAGATCAAAGAGACTCCTCTTTGTGTGTGATCATGTATGTTGCGGCCTGCGCCTCATCTGACAGTGTGAGCGAGGGCAGGTACACGTGTGTGAAAGTCCATGTGAGGTGCTGTTTGAGATGATTGCACCATAATGCACTGTTGATAACAAGATGCACACAGCAGTGCCTGCTTTAATCATAACGTAAACTCACTTGCAGAGATCTGCTGTGGGTACATTTTGTTTCACAATGTCCTCACATTATGAACCGCTATCACAGCTTTTAGTCGAGCCGGACAGCGTTCTCTACGCACTACTCCTGCTTAAATTGCAGCCACTTCTCTTGTAGTGATAATGCTGTATTCCTTCTGAGATTGATGGATGTTGTATTATCACTAAAGCTCAGATGGATATGTTGATCCTTGGAAACGTTTGATGGAGAAAGATTACTGACTGGAAAATGATCAAGGAAAAAAACTGAAGATCAGTAGACAGACAAGATGAATCTAGTGTTACGATCTGTACTCAAGAGGACACCTGAACTCAAACAACACTTGCTAATCATGCTAGTTATAGGAGTGAATCTCTGTTCCCAGAGTTTCCAGCTCAATATCTTCCTACTATGACACATTAAGGGGACCTTTCAAAAGGGATTCGTGTTCTCAGCAGTGTTTTCATCCATGGTCAAATGTTCAATGTATGTTTCCCTGGATCAATATGTTGAAATCAACCAACTACAGCTCTTAGCCTACCTATGTTATACTCTTTGACGCCTACACCCTCAAATTTGCGGGCAAGACAGCTGTCTTAACATAGATATCTTCACATGGCTTAACAGATTTTCACCATTCAAACTGAATTTAAAATGTAATCTCTCTACAATGTTGGTTTATATCAAGAGACACATGCTTAAAAGTCAACACAAGGCTTAGCTAGGCCACTTTGGAACATAGGACCCTGGGAACACAGATGTCCCCCTAATGAGTGTCAATAAAATATTTGAGTGTCATTTTTGATTTTAACTTGAAATGGAGCAACCATGTTGATTTTCTGTGTTCCAAGCTGGCCCAAAGAATTGACTTTCTTAGAAGACTAAGTTTGGAGTTAACCCTGACTCCATGCACACCATGGACAGCATCATTAGATATGGTTTGGCGGCTTGGAACGGCAACACCACTGTCCAGCTAAGAAACAGAATAACAAACATGATCAAAACTGCCATGAAGGTGATAGGCAAAACTGTTTATCCTTCCCTTCAGAACACTTTTGAAACAGTGGTGGTCAGACAGACGCACAGGATTCTTAAGGACCCAACAAAAATTTTACTGCCCAAATACCAGCTCCTGCCTTCAGGCAGACGCTACAGGGCTAGCAGGTATAAAGGCAACAGATACAAACTCTCTTTTATACCAACATCCATAGCGCTCCTGAACAAAAAACCAGCCCTGTTCCCTCCATAGTGAGGAATAGCCTCAGTCTAAACATGGTCTCCTCTTAAATTTAGTTTTTAAATTTTAATAATTTAATTTAATAATTATCAGTAAAATTATTATAACTGTCCAACTCTCCCTTAACTTTCTTTTAACTTCTCTACGCACTTTACGCTGCCAGGCTTAGTAGTGGCCGACGCCTGCATGGTGGCCGGTATTTGTCCTATTGTACACCATGTGTACTTGTAAGTCTTTGGAAAAACCCTATTGTTGTTTGGGTACTGTGTGTTGTGTGTCAATGTAAACGCAGTTTTCACGCACTCTGAGCCCAAGACGAATTTCCTGTAAAGGACAATAAAGTTTATTTGATTTTGAATATCTAGCATTCTGACACACATGTACACACATTCGGCTTGGGTGGTACCTATTCTTTCATACCTTTCTGACATTTCAACTGGGTACATGACAGTATTTGTAAAAATATTCATTCATTCATTTCTGTAACCGCTTATCCTCGAGGGTCGCAGGGGAGGCTGGAGCCTATCCCAGCTGACATTGGACGATAGGCGCTATACACCCTGGACAGGTCACCAGACTATCACAGGGCTGACACATAGAGACAGACAACCATTCACACTCACATTCACACCTATGGACAATTTGGAGTCACCAATTAACCTGTATGTCTTTGGTCTGTGGGAGGAAGCCGGAGTACCCCGAGAAAACTCACGCTGACACAGGGAGAACATGCAAACTCCGCACAGAAGGGCTTTGAACCCCCCACTCTGGGTCTGAACCAGGAACCCTCTTGCTTATGGTCCATAAAATAATAAACAGATGAGAAATAAGCACCCTTCTTGTCGGAGGATCCAATGACACTTGTTGCCATGGCAGATACCGGTGATGATGTGTTGGATAAAATCAAGTGGTCATCTCATGATAAAGTTATATGTGGCAATACTCCCAAACAGGGACAGTGACATTTTAATTTTGCACTAGTCCTATAACGTTATCCCCACCACCTGCAGTCGCCATCTCTCTCAGTTCCACCAGTACACACTGACCTCTGGTGGCCTGAGCTGTGCACTGCAATACATTACCTCAATACAGCATCTCCATATCAGTTTAATAAAAAGAGGAGCATCTGTACTTTCAGGATTTCTAAATAGCCTTATATCGCATATTACCTTTTTAATACCCAAGCCTAGCTCCATTATCATTCTCTGTGCAAAGATCATTCCAACAGTCCACCTGCCTGCCAAAAACCTGCAATGTCCTGGTTTGATTCCAGCTGTGAGAGCTTAGTTGCATATCATACCCTTCACTCTCTCCCCCATTTCCATTCTCCCTCGCCACTATTATCTGGCCAATGAAGCTGAAAATGTCCAGAAAATAACCTTAAACAACACACATATAGCATCCAAATCACATCACTTACCCTGAATTTATACTGTGTACTCCTCTTCAGGCCTTGTACAGTACAGGTCAAGTTTTCTCCAGTGTACTTTGGATGAAAGTCTGTTCCCTGTGGGGAATACAGATACAGATACACTATTAGTTCTCTAAGTGTGTGTGTGTGTGAGACTGCATCTGTCAGGGTGTATCAGTTTAGGTGTACAGTTCTGAGCATATGGATGCAATAAATGCTGACACTGGCATTATATATGTGTGTGTTTGAGGGGGAGGAAGGAGTGTGTGGGAGCTTTTGGTGCAATTCCCTTCTTATATAGGTGCTCAATCATTTGCATATGGTGTGTGTGTCTGTGTGTATACTTGTGTATTACAGGGATCATTGCTCAGTGCGTCTGCTGTGCATTTCCCCAAACTATTTTGCAATGCATTACAGAAGCAGTTTTTCATATTTTCTTATAACCTGTTTTGGTGGAGTGCTGGTGGAGTTGTTTATTCTCTTTCTGTCCTTACAGGATTCAAGTGACCGACAGCACTCAGCTCAATCGAATATAATATAATATTGGCCTCATATCCTGTCTGAATAATAATAATAAAAACTAGAGTTGATTATGTAGCTCCTTCTGCCACATTCAAATCTATGAGGGCCATTTAATGTAATGGAAAAGAACCTGAGCAGGCAGCATGAATTTTATAAATGTTTTTATATTGTTTAGGTGTTTTCATGTGTAGGGTACTCACGCTGTTGTCCTCCTGGATCTCGAGTGTGTATTTGAGCTGCTCCTCGCTAGGACTCCCCTCAGGACGCCCCCACTCCAGGGTCACCCAGGACACCCCCGCCCTGACCAGCCGCGGCGCCAGGGGCAGAGCAGGCAGGGTGCCCATAGTGTAGAACACCACCTCTGTGCTGAAGCCACTGCACAAAACACATTTTTATTTTACTCACATTTTTGCATTATTTAAAATGCTGAAGCAAATTATTAACTTCTTGGTTCATTACTTTTGAGGGAAAAGGAAATGCAGCTCGCGAGGGAGGGGAGGCTGTGCATTATGACAGCAGAGATAGAGAGAGGAGCATTTTTGAAATGGGAAAGGAGGAGAAAATGTGAATAAGGAAAAGGACACTGACATCAGCGCTCATCTGAAGTGAGTGCAGGGGTACGTGTGGGGTTGCAGGTAAGGATGGGGGCCTGGAGCACTCCCAGGTGAGATACTAAGAAGAGAAAGGTTAAAGAAGAGCCGAGACAGGGGAAAATAGTATATATATACATGTCAGAAGCCAGACGGAAAAGACAGAGGAGGAAGGGAGGCTAATTTGCAGGAGGGAAAGAATTTGAATGTATAACCAGCAGCGGGTTTGATAGGTCGGAAACATTTTTTTTCCCAAGTAAGAAAAATCGCTGGTAATCAAAAGCCAGCATGTGCAGAGCACGTTTTGGTGAGCATGAGCATCCGTGGCTTCAAAGGGGAATCAGGCTGAAGGATGCATTAAGGATGCTTTGGGTTCAGCCAGAGAGCTAATATCTCCTCCCTCTGCTCTCGCGCCCCTCCATCACCTCCTCCCTCCTCCCTGTCACCCTAACGACTGCAGGCGAGATGCCTGCCACCGTAATGACAAAGAGGAGGCTAGAGGGGAGAGGAAGTGGAGAGAAAATGAGACAGAGGAAGAGGACTTATGTCACATGCAGAAAAATAAACGCAGGTAGACTGGTGCGTGTCTGTGTGTGTCTCTGTCCAACACCATGTAAGAGTTCCAACATTTATTGAGACAAATGCAGATGTTGTGTCTGACACTGGTGGAAATAGTGTCCAAGGGTGTTAATAAAAATGTTTGGAGGCCCTGACACACCAAGCCGATGGTCAGCCGTCAGTCAACACTGTGTCTGTCGCCATAGTTTTTGCAATGCGTCCCGCCTCAATAGCACTAGTCGGCCCTTGACAGCTGTTTCTCCAGCCGATTCAGCATGTTGAATTGGTGTCAGACCTGACAGAGCTTGTTAGTGAGTGAAATCACTTTGACTGGAAGTTCAGCTCAGTGCACGAGAAGAGAAACGGAAGTGTGGAACATAAACAAACTGCTAAAATTAAGAGGGTGTAAGATCAAAACAAACTTGTTATATTAGGTAAGATTATTTTTTAGCCACTGAGCTTTTTAGCAGAAACGGTTCATAATTGTTTGTGTTATTGTTCACTGGCGCACAGTAATTATCATTTGTTCTTTTAACATCAGGTTTTGTCATTAATGTGCTAACTAGCTTCTTGAATTCGTCCTGTCGCTCTTCTGGTATCCCTTCTAGAATTACGATTACAGACTACTGCCGCCTGCTGGTATGGAGAGTTTTTTCCTCTAATGCAGGCACACGAGAGGAAATTGTAGATTGTATACTCTGTGGTGTGTTCAAGTGCAACTTCCTGGACAAAAATTGTTCATCCCGCTAAAATACGCCTTGGCAGCGAGAGTTACTCTCATTTCTGAAACCGGAAAAAATAAAATTTTCTATCCATAGCTCGGCTGAGAACTTTTACAAACACTGGAAGCTTCTCATCTCCAACTTCAAAACAATGCAATCTATCCCATCCGACCAGAGTATGGGAAATATAACCAGAGAAAGATAAGTGTTGATTGTTTTGGGGTATACATACACATACACACAGCAACATGCATATTGGGGCATTTATTGTGTAGGATGCAGACAAGGTTAGGTTGGCATGTTGATCTATTTCTTTATCTATCACTTTCGTTAAAATAAAAGGGTTAATATTAACATGACACTGTGCTACTGTATCATCATATGTGCAAATTGCTGAATAAAATTTGGTTAAAATTTCTTCGCCACCAGCTCGCCGGTGTCGGTTCAGTGTGTCTGGGTCTGAAGGAGCAATTACCAGGTCCTCATGTGAAAAGCTGTCATGGATCTTAATAAATCCGACAGCACATGAACAAGGAGAACAAGGCCTCCTGTGCTATTCATGATGACAAAAACATTTTTCACTGAAGAGTATGTGAGTATAGCACATGCTTTAATGAATTCAGTAATAGGCAGCAGTACCTTGTGCCAATGTCGTTGTGCGCAGCCACTCTGAATGTGTAGCCACAGGCGGGGAACAGTCGTGTCAGCTTACAGTGTCTCTGGCTCCCAAAGTAACATTCTCTGAAAACACTGTTCTTCTTTCCCTGCAGAGGAGAAGAGAGATAAATGGAAAATAAAGTAAGACTAGATGAGAACGGGGGGGATAAGATTAATTGCAACAGGAGATTAAAGAAAAGAGCAAAACTGATGAAGAACAAAATGCACGACAATGAGAAAGTACAAAAGGGAGAAGGAAAAGGAGTGGGACTGACGCTTATTCGTCTGAGGAGCTGAATGTTAACATCCGTTTAGTGACGTCTGTGTGACAGGTATGAGTGTTTTTTTTTTTATTTTTTTTTTTTTAAAAAGGGGGGAAGGCATGACAGATGACAAGCAGCGAGAGCGAGAGACAGACTCACCTCATCCCACTCGAGCAGGTAGTTTGTGATTTTGGATCCGTTGTCGCCCGGGGGCTGGGGACGATAGAGAGATGGACGGAGCGAGGCAGACAAGAGACAGGAGAGAGACGGAGAGATTAGCCAAGGATAAAAGAATCTGACACTGAGACAGACAAAATACCTGCCGTGTTTTTATGATTGGCCTCATATCCTGTCTGGGTGACTGATGTCACTCTTTATCAGTGACAGTGTGAGTGGATAAAAATTACTTGCGAGGAAAAAAGGTCAGAGAGGGCGGCGGGATTCACCCTAACGGCACTGTGCAACGATGCAAGAATGTCTTTCTATTAGGTGCTGTAGGGCTGATAATGTCAAGCTAGGAGATAAACCAGATGAAGTGAGACTTGCCAAGCGTTTAACTGTACAAATAAAGAACGGGTGACACGGACATATGAGATTACACAAGTCTTGTTTGGTAGCACTGATGTAATTGCAAATATCCCATCAAAACTATACAACATATCATTATGTTCAGGCTCTGTGATGTTTATTGGGGTGAAACGTGTTGTGCCTGTACCTTCCACTGTAGGGTGAGGGTGCTCTTGGTGCGGTGGGAGAGTTTTGGGGTTAGCGGGACGTCAGGGACGCTGCAGTGTGTGGTGAACGAGCTCGCCTCTGAACACGAGCCTCGAACCGAGTTGTACATTGCCGACACCCTGAAGCAAATACATGAGACATCACATTTAAATGGCCAGATGAAAACAGAATCTTAACACAGAATACAACCCACAAAACCTAACTTATAGAACATATGAAAGCAGTAAAGAACACCACATCCAATAAGAATGAGTCCAACAAGAAAGTCCTTACCGTACGTGGTAGTCTGTCGCTGGCCTTAGGTCTTTCAGATGGTACTCCAATTCTTCGCCGCTGAAACACCAAAGCACATAGGTCAGAACAAACGTGTACTTTGGATGTTTCTAGTTGATACTGTATTCTTAAAGCTTGGAGTGTGTTTTCGGGTCCATGTCATTGGTCCAACAGCCCATTGGTCTGACATCCCATTAATCTGATGTCCCGTTCTTCCGATATGTGATTATACTAGGCTATACTGAATTTGTGTACCATAGAGGATCAGCAAACGCAACAAAAGTAGGCTAGTGGTCGAGATACAAGTGTCATAGAGAGAAGAGAGTGAAACACCATAACCTCCTGTTATTAACTCTGGGGTCGGGGTTGTGTGGGGAGCTCTCTGCGGTGCTGAACGGCTCCTGGCGGGTGTATTTCTGCCTTGATGGTGCGCAGCAACCGGCTTGAGGCAAAGCAGGCTCACGGCTTATGTGTTTGCCACTTTCTTTTTCATTTTAACCCACACCATGATCTTTTCCTAACCCTAACCAAGTGGTTTTTGTGCCTAAACCTAACCAGACCTTAACCACAGGGCATCACGATGATTTTGGAACAACGGGACTTTGGAACAATGGGTTTAATATGGTCGGAACAATGGGCTGTTGGACCAATGGGCAGTTCCCGTGTTTTCTACCTGTATATGAGACGATACTTCCCGTCTCGTCCCTTATCTGAGAGAGAGACCTCGTAGGAGCAGGACACAGGCATCCCGTTACTATGCCTGGTCACCAGCCCTGCCGGGGGGGCCCAGGACAGCCGTGCGGACCGCGCCTGCACGTTTGACACCTGAAAGACACACATACACGTGATGAACACAATGCATGCAAAATCGCTTCATCAAGGGGTCTGTTTGGCTTTAATATTGAATGTGTATCGTGTGTGTTCATGCATGTCCTTGGCTCTGTATGTGTGTGTTAAAAGCAATCTGTCATTGGAGCCATTACTGCACATTTGACTGCTCTTTCCGGCTCATGCACATCTGTTGTTGCCAGGAACGCAACAAGAGAATTAAAATGAACCAACACGAAAAAGAGGCCTGTGTGTGTTTGTGTGTTTAACTGTGTGCCCGCCTGTGTTCCTGCAAGTGCCTGCATGTTTATGGGGGGTTTTAGTTGCGGCACATGGTGGGTGAGCCAATTTAGCGTGATTTAGCGCAGTCTGCTGCTATTCCAGACTCCACATCCACTGAATAGGCGATGAATGCAGCCTGAGGGCGCTGAAAACCACAACCATGCCTAGACAGTTGATGAGGAAGACAGACAGGAAGAGACGGAGAGACAGACGTGTCATTTTATGGAGAGGTTTGATCACGATGATTATGGTTTTATGAGATCACATCACTGTGTTCGCATGCCTGAGAATGCCTTTGTCTTTGATAGCAATTTATTACCAACGAGGAACATTTTTTCCACACACATTCTGTCAATCTATTTGCTCATATGTGCACTGCGGATACACAATAAAGCTTCCACTTAGTCTTCGTCTTCTATTCATTGTTTGAAAGAAACTAAATAACTAAATAGATCTCTCTCATACAATGGCTGTGTTTATGTACATACACAGATTTATTCCAATCACAGTGAAGTGGACAGAAGCGGAGTAAGGCAGAAAACAACTATGCCAACAAATGCCAAAGATGTTCAGCTGAAAGACACATTTCCTCTCTTTTGTCATTCCGAAATGCTTTTTAGGTGACAAACTAAAAAAAAATGCTTTCACACACAGCTTTATTTCAGCCTCAGAGACAAGGGCGTATATCACGCCAGCATTGTGACAGAAAGGTGAGGTGTAGAGTTGAAAGCCGGAGGGGTTTAACACTTGGTCATGGACATAAACCTATGGCAACACTTTTCTCATACTGCCTTTTTATAGTCTTGCATAGCCAAACTTATCTCAAGCTGTGCCAGTGTTGGAGAAAAGTCTGTCTGAATCCATCACAAAGGGAAACAAAGCTCTGGGTTGCTTGTATTTCCTTCACAACCAATCACAATCACCTTGGGCGGGCCTAAGATCAGGATGCAGCGACAGTTCATTCATTCATTTTCCGTAACTGCTTATCCTGTTGGGGGTCGCGAGGGGGGAATGGAGCCTATCCCAGCTGGACAGGTCACCAGGCGAGACACAACTTGGAGTCAATTAACCTGCGTGTCTTTGGACTGTGGGAGGAAGCCGGAGTACCTGGAGAAAACCCACGCTGACACAGGGAGAACATGCAAACTTTGCACAGAAGGGCTCCCCCCACCCAAGGGTTCGAACCAGGAACCCTCTTGCTTTGAGGTGACAATGCTAACCACTGTACAACTGTGCCACCTGCAGCAACAGTGCACTTGGAAAATGGTGTTGAGAGGGAGCTTGTTTTGGTGGGAAGCAACAATAGGCATCCAATGACAAGCTTTATACCCACATCCTGTGAGCCAGACTACCTTTTTTATAGTGGGTTTAAAATTGCAGAATGTGTGGTGCGTTAAAATAATAAAAAAAGAACTGTCACATCGCCCCTGGTTAGATTTATTTGACATGTCTACCCAAAATACCCATGAATCAAATGAAGATGTGCTGACTGTTTTGGGGGATTTTACAGATATACAGGTGACCTGTAATGATCTGTCAGTGAGAAATGTTTCCCTCTTTTGGAAGAGAGGAGAGCACGTCCAAAAAATGTACTTGTCATTTTATTCCCTCCTCCTCAGTGTCACTCTGTAAAAGAGAACTAGTGGGTAAGGATCATCTTCAGAAACAGCTTTTGACTTTGAAGGAATATTTCACCCACAAAGTGATCAATTCCATATTGATTGCTCGCCGTGTGTTACCATGAATTCGTAGTTAAGACTTTGCTTTCTCACATGCCTCCACAATGAACGAAGAATCCAAAAACGGAGGAAATTCTCAATGTCTTATGTATGCAGATGATTTGGTAGTCTTCTGCTCATATAGTGCCGGCCTACAACAGCTGTTAAAGAGTTGCCCTAACTATGGTGCAGATGTTGACATCAAATAAATTGCCCAGAAGTGCAACATTATGATTGTCAGAAGTCAAGAAGACAGAAACTTTCCTGAATTCTTCTTTTCTGGTGTTGCTCTTAAAGTGTGTAATGACATTAAACATCTCGGCCATTATACTGTCAATGATTTATCGGATGATAGAGATATCCACAGACAGTGTCGCAAGTTGTATGCGCAAGCTAATATGCTTGCTTGCAAATTCGGTATGTGTTCAGCTGATGTGAAGACAGCTCTTTTTAGAGCGTTTATACCCCGCTGTATACTGCCCACTTGTGGTGCTCTTATCGGAAGAGCAACATGCAGAGACTTAGTGTGGCTGATAATATATAATGATGGCATGAGACTGGTTCTTAAACTTCCATGATGGTGTCGTGCCAACTAGGGCTGAAACGATTAGTCGACTAATCGATGACTAATCGACCATTAAAATAATTGGTGACTATTTTAGTAGACGACTAATTGCTTGGAGTCATTTTTCATAGGAAAGTACTATAAAAGTACCCCAAAATACTCTTATTGCAGCTTCTCACATTCAAATATTGGCAGCTTTACACACTCTCCCATGACGGTGAACTAAAACCCTTTGGCGTGAGTACGAAACAAGACATTAGATGATATAATTTTGGGGTTTGGGAGAGACAGACGGACATTTTTAAACATTTTAACACATTTTTCGATAAAATGATTTGTCGACTAATTGAAGAAATAATCGACAAATTAGTCGAAAATAATCGTTAGTTGCAGCCCTAGTGCCAACCAGATGTTTGTAAATGTTGGTCTGCCTACCCTGCCTTAACATGAAATCTGATACTTTGATATATGTGCAGGCTCTCTGTCTCAGAAAATAGTATCATCCAGGCCTGAGCTCAGTCAGGTTTTCATGGAGACTGTGGGGCCACTGGCTCTCCAGCTTGTTTGTGGGTGCAGTTTATCGAATTTTGTCTTTTAATATAAACTTGCATAATGAAGTGTTATCTGTTATATTGTATTTTTGTACATAGATGATCTGTGCAGTAGAATCCAGGTCTTATTTATCCAGCCTAATGCTCAGTGCTTCCCAAACACATGCATTTTCGCTAACACCTCACTATTTAAAACACTTTTACTTCAATTCATCAAGAATTTTCTCCATCTTTTTGGATTCTTCATTCGGAGCCTTTGAGGTGGTTCGCTACATCTTTCCTCCAGCGCGAAGTGTAAACAGGTACAGCGAGAACTCACAAGGAAATTACTTCTATTCCCGTCTTACTTCTCTTTCATCTCCCCTCTGCTTCTCATATTTCAATTCAGCTCAGGCCGACACACCTACCTGCTATGAAAGCACACAATACGACCAGAGGAACAACATTGTGAACATTTTGAAATGAAGAACTTTCTTATAAAAGCTCTGCCTCTGCAACACCTGCTCCTGTGTCTGTTTAGTACATAGCTGAATTCATCACAAGGCACTCTGTAAACTTACAATTTGTCCCTTTACTGTATAAATCCAGACCAAACTACCTTACCCTACATAAACGCATTAAGGTAATGGAGTGTCAAAAGTGGCAGAACATCACATCTGCGGTTTATGACACAAAAAAGCAATAAATGACACAAAGAGATCTCTAAATTGTCCTCTTTCAGCGTAGAGGTGATTTGAGGTTATGAGAGTGAATAAATCGCTGCCGCACATAAACTTCTAATCTCCTGAAGGGCTGAAACCTTCCTCTATCTCTCTCACATCCCTCCATTCTCCCCGTCTATTTGAGCCCCCGTTATAAACTTGCAGATATCAAATGGTCCAATTGCACAGCCTGCTGACCAAACTGCTTTAACCGGGAGCGAGCAATTCCTCTCTACAAAACCACGTCTGCACGGCTCCAGCTCATTCATTCATTCACATTCCCCCTGGGGAAGGGAAAAAAAAACGGTGATAGTGTTTTTCAACTGATAAAGGCATATGTGGAAGGGGATGGCGTGAGTGAGCAGATGCTGCCCTCATGTGGCCAAGGTGAGCAGAGCTTAAATGGTCTGTTACCTTCCCTGAAATGACTTGGAAATGAGAAACACTGCATACACAAGTCGCTCCAGTTGTCATGTTCAGTGGGAGCATCTGATTTTTATGTAAATCACAGGCACGGGGTGAAAATATGGAAAATACATCAACACTCGTGCCAGCTATGACTGCATAAGACAAGAGGTGATTGATGAAAGTGGTGTCGGGTTTGTGTGTCTGCGCGCAGCTGTGGGAGGAGGTGTGCATACCAACCTGTGGTTTGTCGATTGTAGACAGCATGTCTTGAACGCGCTTCCCCTCTGAATCATGATCTGAGGAGACAGAGGCAGAGAAAAAAAATGAGTAATTATCAAAAATAAACAACAAGAGGTGTTTTTAGTGTAATATTCAACAGAGAGAAGAGAGACTGGCACTGATCACGGGTGCATCTGCGCCACATGTCGGGTCATAATTGCAATCTGTGTGCATAATTCAAACGTATCTGAATTTGATTCATGACAAAAAAAAATGGATAAATTCCACAATCATAAGTTTCAAAACAGATGCACATTAGCAGTTTTGGCAACGCTGCTGAAAACAGATGCTCTTGATTGACAGGGAGGCTTTCCAGTTCCCGCAAGCCACGTTATCTGGAAATCTATGGCTCATTATCGTTCGAGGTCAGCCAAGGTTTGCGTCTCGATTGGGAAACGGTAGGGTCAAAAAGTCGGCTAAAATGACTCCCTAATCATCCCCGATATTGTCTGTGAAAATAGTGTCTCCAAATAGTAATCCAGTCATCTGTGAAAAAAAGAAAAACAACAGCCCAAAATAGAGTAAAAACAGACCTAAATTCTTAAAAAGTGTGTTGTCTAATGGTGTGTGATGCAACACTTGTTTTCTCCGGCAACCGCCTATTTCATCCCATCAAGTCATGATGAACACAGCCTTGGAAAAAACACACTGAATTATCCAGCGTTCCACAGCAAAGCATTAGTCACGAATTCCTGACCTTGAGCAAATAAAACGGGGATCACCGAAAAAAGAGAAAAGGAATATGAGTCATATTCCACAGTGACTGCTCTGCTCTGAACATAGAAACCTGTTGATTATCATTGGAGGCATTAGTTCATAGAAATCGTTTTACTAATCATTATTATGTATCATTTTCAATCAGCTGAATTGTCTCTACACCTGCGAATAATCATCCACATCATCATCTGACGTCAGCAGTGTTGTTGCAGCACTGCAGCACAGCTTATTATGCATGACATTTTACTGAACACAATGCCATATGTATTTCATGACTGTGCTGCTGCTGGTTATTAAAACTCCAAAAGCCTACAAGGAAAAAAAGATAATGATATTTCTCTTGGAGCTCTCTCTTTTTAAGTAGTTTTTTTAATTTAATTTGATTATTTGACGCCATACAATATACTGGACCAGATATAGCTGCTTATTCACATATGTGGTCCCCTGGAAGAGGCTCCATATTGCTTCCTGTGCAGCAGAAGTTGGTTTTGTAAAATATCCATCAGATGTCAGGTGTTTATAGGAGTACGTATGATCGCTTTCATTTGGTGAACATGCGTAATCACTAAAAACGCTTTGTGACAGAGTAGAAAAAGGACTTTTATTTTGATGAAAATTTATTTGGCTCATTATTATTATTATGCAATATATTATGGATTTAAATGACGATAAAGTCAAGTTAAAAATCTAAAAATTTAAGGGGAACTATGACCATTTTCGAATTTTTTTTTTTTTTTAATTACTTTATTTTTATTTTTTAAATGCAGTGTTAACACATCCAAGAACACCAACAAAAAACGTAAAGAAAATAAATAAATAAAATCAAAAATAAATAGATGAATAAAAAATATGCTTAAAAAATTAAAAACAAACAAATAAATAATAATAATAAAAAAGGCTACACCCACATATAAAAAAGAAAGTTGCAAAAAAGAATCTTCAGCATCACAAATAAAGCCTCTCACCCTCATATTAATTTGTATTGACTCATGTTCTATTTCTGTCCATTTCCAGAGGATGGCTATGAAAAAAGGGGGCTGTAACAAAACTATGCACAACCAGAGATGTTGAGAAAAAGGCTAAAATGAAATGAAATAAAATAAATAAATGCTTGTGGCACAGAAGAGAATGCAGTAGAGAAAAAAAAACGTCATACATAAAAAGTTAAGGATGTTCCTTCAACTAATTATCTTAACAAAATCAGGTCTCAAATGTTTAACATATTGCTCATATTTTCCCCAGACTTGTATGAAAATGTCCATCTGTAGGTGTAGAGAGAAAGTGACCTTTGCTATCATGTAGATCTCAACTGTCACATCTATCTAGTCATTTACTGTAGGACAAACATGCATCATCCATTTTCTGCTGCCAGCAGTGTACCCATGAGGTTTCTGCCAACACCAGTTTCAAAATTCATACATGTTATGCGTATGGTTTAAGACGGAAAACTCTCCCAAATCCAAAAACTAAAGTGCTAAAAGTCAAATTTGTGATGTCACTGGGTATAACATCTAGAGCTGCTTCATAGACAATGAATCAGGCGAATGTTCTGAGTGAAAACACTACAACAGCATAAAGCTCATTTGGGTATAAAACAAGAGGACAAACATTCTGTGGGTCCACAAAGTCAGTCTCCCATTCATTGTCTATGGAGCAGCTAAAGACGTAATACCCTATGACATCACATGTTTGAGACTTGCTCCTCTGGTTTCTGGCTTTGAGAGAGAGCAGCTCATGTTCACAGACACTGACTGAACCTTCCCAGGGCCATGGATATAATACATTGGAATTCTTCTGGAATTTAGGTGGAGTTCCCCTTTAATTCATTCAGTTATAAGCCATTTATCACGTTTCTTTTATTGGGCCCTTAAAGGGAAATTAAGTTTTTTTATTCTGTTGTTATGTGTCAGGCCTGAAATACAGACACATGCACAAACAGGATCACAAGCAGGGGATTCAGTGCCTTGCTTAAGGGCACCACAGCAGTGCCCAGGAGCATGAACTTACTGTTCCTGTCCTGTTTTTTTTCCATTTAATATTATTAGAAATTGACAAAACAGGGAATTTAAACACATCAAATTGTGCTCTGAGATTATAAAGGGCAATTTCCAATTTTTTCTTACACTTATTAATTCAAAAAAATTATCAAAACATTTACTGATAATGCAAATAATCACCAGTTGTAGTCCTTATTAAGTTCATAAAGGTCACTTTGCCTCTGTGAGCATAATATTACTCACACACTCACACACACTTGTAGCATAAACATATGCACACAAACACACACCCATGCACAGGTCTGGTCTGGTGATACGATGCGTCTGAAAGGTGATTTATTGGACTCTTGGGGTGGTTAGGAGGACGAGTGCAAGTCAGTGTGTGTGTGTGTGTGTACACATGTGTGGGTAATGGAAGTCTTTCCCCCCGTGTGATCCCCGCAGTTAAGGTTTTTCCGACCAAAGGAGGCCTGCTTTCTCCATCTGAGCCTGACCACTGTAAATCACACGGGATGTGTACGAGCATATGTGTGTGTGTGTGTGTGTGTGTGTGTGTGTGTGTGTGTGTGAGGGTCAGCAATACAAGGCCTGTATGAAACCAAGTTAGTTTGATGAGTGTGTTACAGCGGTACAAGACGGCAATAAGACGGTTTCAACACACAATTGCGCACATACACGGACACAGAAACAAACACAGACATATACACACACCTGCACACACACACACACACACACACAGTATTCTCGTGTATAAGCGGGTTATGTTTTGAAGATTAGCGTATGCTTAAAGTAAGTGATGAATGAGAGATTCAGTGTGTGTGTGTGTGTGTGTGTGTGTGTGAGCGGCTAAGTCCCTCTGACAGGTTCTGTGGGGGAGAGGGCCTTACTGTGCCTGGGGGTACACTTATGAGTCATGGCAACAGTGATGTCATGGAAGCACAACCTCAACTTGACCTCCGTGTGTGTGTGTGTGTGTGTGTGTGTTAGGCAGAATAAAAAAGCTAGTGCAAGAGAGAGACTGTGTGTGTGTGTGTATGAGTGTGTGTATTTCAGTCTGTGTATCAGGTTACCGGAGATTGGTGATGGGAGGAGGGAGGGTAAGCTACTGTGTGTGCATGCATGTGTGTGTGTTGGGGCTGGCAGTGTGGGTTGAGTTCAACAGGTGAAGTACACATTCTGCATCACTGCTCGACACTTTGGCTCATTAACGCGCCTTTTCTTCCCCCCCTTCATCCGCACACTCGTCCCCTTCCATCCATTTGGACAAACCTGAACTTTTCTCTTTTATGGAATAACGGCGCAGTCAGTCAGACAGGCAGCTCCAGACATGAACAGCTCCGTCAGCTAACAGGCTGACCCAGCTTATTCCGCCCATTCATCACAGCTGGGTGAAAAAGAAGAATATTGCCTGTTTAGCGTGGCGGTCCTGTAGCTACTTGTCTGCTGCAGGTACCACGGCTGAGGCAAGGAGAGGTGGAATTCCATTACAGCATCACTGCGGCTGTCACGTTCAGCAAACAGCAGATGTTAATAATCAGACAATGTGTCTGGCTGACAAATAGCTTCACTGGGAGTTCACGGTTTTATCGGGAAATGGAGAAATTATTTTTGTTGTGGGTCTGTCATACATTCAATTATAAGTGTAACTGCAGCTACAAATTACAGATATCCCCTGAACACCTCACAAGCAGGCGTTAGGAGATGCTACAATTTACAGATGTTCCCTTAACCAGTCGTTCCCAACTGATCCACATTTCTCCTTAGTCACTAGTTCAAGGTCCACACAGTTCAATACATTCAGCATCATACTTGCATTTGGCCATGTTGTCAAGCTAGTGTGCTGTTTCCATCCAGTAGCTGTCTGTTAGTCACTCACTCTACAGAAGGAAACGGCACTTCAAAATAAAAGCTCTGTGCTGGAAATTCACTGTACCTAACACAAACTTGACATGTTTGTGAGTCACTTGTGGTCAATTCAGAATGGACCCATGACCCACTTTTGGACCGTTCCAAGGTTTAAACCACACCTCTCAACCCAACTGAAAATTCCTTTCAATCGGGCCGGATCAGGCCAGTGTCTTCCGAGTGAGCTGGTTACACGAGGCATTTTTGTTCCAATTGGGCTATTAAAGAGGATTTATACTTGTGCATCAGTTCTATGCAGAGCCTACTCCGTAGCCTACACACATGGCCTACACCATTGTGAGCATTTATACTTGTGAGGTGGTGTGTCTGTGTCACTCTGCAGTTACACCTCCAAAACACTTAAGTGCTGTAAAGTTAAGTTGATTCCAAACACAGAG